TCGATATCCCTTTCAGCGTTGGTGGGCTCAGCATGTCAGCTCTTGCTGCTCCAGAGACAAAAACAGATCTGGCCAGAGCCAGGTTAAAACAGCCACCACCCAACCTCCAAACTAATTATATTCAGGTGTGTGTAATTAGGCTCTTACCCCTCCGGGCCACCCTCTATCCTGGCCAGCAGATGTAGCCAACGAGCAGGAATGTACCGGCCATCACACACCCACCCTCTCACTCCATCACAACAATAACATACTCTTCAGGATAGTTAGGTTTCGAAACATTTTTAAATTAGTTTAAGGTTTGTTAAAATCCATAAACACCTCAGTAAATATGGCCCTAAAACTAAATCTCACATCATTACAAACTTCATCCCATCATCTAATATTATCCCAGGTCTTCACATCATGTCATTAGTATGACTTGTTCAGAGAAGCATAATGATAGCTCCATTCCTTCCTGATAGAGAGCTAATTCATGTGTTACCTGCTCAGAAACCAGTCGAGTCACAGTTAAGTGCACACTCACTATCATCAGAAAGAACACTGACCTCTCAAAACAATACAGTGAAATATGGCTTTATTTTATATGGATGCAAAAAAAAAAAAAATGTTTTTAATATTTTAGAGCAGAATACTACACTTGAGATACACACAGATTTCAAGTCAGCGTTCTACCCATAATTATATTGTGAAGCTGTTATTTATTATTTTCTATCAACATGACCAAAATGAATGTACTGTTTACTATACTAATATCTGAGTGTCTGTGTGTAAGAGTCTGAGGCTACTGTCTACTGTGACCACTGTCTAGTTCTCCTAGCCACAACACTTTTGTTACTCATCAAAACATTTCCCACCTAACTCAGGGAATCTCCCAGAGGAGAACTGTGCTGCGTTGACACAGTGGTGGGTTACAGCCACATGCACAGATTCTATCCAGATCTGATCAGTGCCCAAATTCACAAAGTGTCTCAGAGTAGAACTGCTTATCAAGATTTCTCCTCCTATTCATTGTGATCTAAAAAGCTCAACTGATCCTAGATCAACACTCCTACTCTGATAGCTCTATATTCAGCTGGCGCTAAGGAGGCGCAAGTGTCAAACCCAGGTTAGTTTGCACTTTCGCCATGTACAAACCTGTGCACTGGCATTTTCCAGCCGTTACGCCAGGTTCGGCAATTTGCCTGTCTAATATTAGCTCGCTTGCGCTGAGGTGGGAGGGGTGGAAATATTTTAGGTGTGTCCTTGAAAACGTGCGCAAATTTCACTGTGAATGCGCGCTGGAAGTTGAACAGAATTTTCACAATGTTCAAGTTTGCGCTCAGCAGACCTGAAATTTGGTCAGGGGTGAAAAAAATTGAAGGGAACATTGGTGCTGAATCCGCTATATTTGCCTGATGTTGGTTTACCTTTCAGGTGGCAAAGTCACTAATGGTCATATCAATGGCAATGGTAGGCTACAGCTGCAGTGGGGAGAACAAGTATTTGATACACTGCAGATTTTGCTGGTTTTCCTACTTACAAAGCATGTAGAGGTCTGTAATTTTTATCATAGGTACACTTCAACTGTGAGAGACGTGATCTAAAACAAAAATCCAGAAAATCACATTGTATGATTTTTAAGTAATTAATTAGCATTTTATTGCATGACATAAGTATTTGATACATCAGAAAAGCAGAAGTTAATATTTGGTACAGAAACCTTTGTTTGCAATTACAGAGATCATACGTTTCCTGTAGGTCTTGACCAGGTTTGCACACATCGCAGCAGGGATTTTGGCCCACTCCTCCATACAGACCTTCTCCAGATTCTTCAAGTTTCGGGGCTGTCGCTGGGCAATACGGACTTTCAGCTCCCTCCAAAGATTTTCTATTGGGTTCAGGTCTGGAGACTGGCTAGGCCACTCCAGGACCTTGAGATGGAGCCACTCCTTAGTTGCCCTGGCTGTGTGTTTCGGGTCGTTGTCATGCTGGAAGACCCAGCCACGACCCATCTTCAATGCTCTTACTGAGAGAAGGAGGTTGTTGGCCAAGATCTCGCGATACATGGCCCCATCCATCCTCCCCTCAATACGGTGCAGTCGTCCTGTCCCCTTTGCAGAAAAGCATCCCCAAAGAATGATGTTTCCACCTCCATCTCCATGCTTCACGGTTGGGATGGTGTTCTTGGGGTTGTACTCATCCTTCTTCTTCCTCCAAACACGGCGAGTGGAGTTTAGACAAAAAGCTCTATTTTTGTCTCATCAGACCACATGACCTTCTCCCATTCCTCCTCTGGATCATCCAGATGGTCATTGGCAAACTTCAGATGGGCCTGGACATGCGCTGGCTTGAGCAGGGGGACCTTGCGTGCGCTGCAGGATTTGAATCCATGACGGCGTAGTGTGTTACTAATGGTTTTCTTTGAGACTGTGGTCCTAGCTCTCTTCAGGTCATTGACCAGGTCCTGCCGTGTAGTTCTGGGCTGATCCCTCACCTTCCTCATGATCATTGATGCCCCACGAGGTGAGATCTTGCATGGAGCCCCAGACCGAGGGTGATTGACCATCATCTTGAACTTCTTCCATTTTCTAATAATTGCGCCAACAGTTGTTGCCTTCTCACCAAGCTGCTTGCCTATTGTCCTGTAGCCCATCCCAGCCTTTTTTTTATCCCTGATATCCTTACACAGCTCTCTGGTCTTGGCCATTGTGGAGAGGTTGGAGTCTGTTTGATTGAGTGTGTGGACAGGTGTCTTTTATACAGGTAACGAGTTCAAACAGGTGCAGTTAATACAGGTAATGAGTGGAGAACAGGAGGGCTTCTTAAAGAAAAACTAACAGGTCTGTGAGAGACGGAATTCTTACTGGTTGGTAGGTGATACTTATGTCATGCAATAAAATGCAAATTAATTACTTAAAAATCATACAATGTGATTTTCTGGATTTTTTTTTAGATTCCGTCTCCCACAGTTGAAGTGTACCTATGATAAAAATTACAGACCTCTACATGCTTTGTAAGTAGGAAAACCTGCAAAATCGGCAGTGTATCAATTACTTGTTCTCCCCACTGTATATACAGCAAATGTATTGACACCCTTTATAAAGATTAGCAATAATGATTGTGTGAACGAAAATACCCTAAATAAACAATTCAAATACTGAGCTATATTGTATGCAAAAAAAATGGGGAAATTATATCATTTTATACTAAAAGAGATTTTGTTTAACAAGTAATATATTTTTTTTCTCAAAGGTTCGGGGTCAAAATTATTGATACCCCTATACATGATCTACATGAATGTGGATGCTACCATGTGGATGCTACCATGATTATGGATCATCCAGAATGATTAATGAAAGTTACTGAGGTCAAAGATCATACCCCCAAGACATGCTAACCTCCCCTGTTATCGGTAATTGTGAGAGGTTAGCATGTCTTGGGGGTATGATCTTTGACCCTTTGTAACTTTCTCACAATTCATTCAGGATTATCCGTAATTATGGGAGCATCCACGTTGATGTAGGCGTGTTTAGAAACATATTCTATTCTTATTTACAATAAAAGTGACTCCAAAATGACATACATTGTTGGTTAAGGGCTTGTAAGTAAGCATTTCACAGTAAGGTCTACACTTGTTGTATTTGGTGCATGACAAATAAGATTTGATTTGATTTGCCATTGGGCACAAAAAATCTGAAACACAACCAAAATGAACTGCAAATGCATCCAACAAGTTTGTAGAGTCACAAGCTTGATGTAGTCAATGCGTGCTATAAATATGGACCAAATAATACACTTTTGACTACTTTATTTATAATAATATTTTGGGGTGTCATGTCTCCCATGTCACCCCTCCACACGCTCCACTGGCTTCTAGTCGAAGCTCGCATCATCTTCAAGACCCTGGTGCTTGCCTACGGAGCAGCAAGGGGAACTACACCTTCTTACCTTCAGGCTATGCTCAACCCCTACATCCCAACCCGAGCACTCCATTCTGTCACCTCTGGTCTCTTGGCCCTCCCACCCCTACAATTTTGCATTAGATAGGAGTATATGGACAGGGGGAACCTGATCCTACTCGGAGAATCCCTGAGATTCTGCACTGACCTGCATAGATAGAATCTGTATGTGGAAGGTACCCTGTTCTTACATGGCAGCCAGACCAATGCATGACCTGTACACGGCAGTGAGTGGACAAACCAAAGGACTGATATACGTTTGCCATTGATGCTTCCACTACCTACCCTCACCAACCACCTATCTCTACTTTCCATGAATACAAATACAACCTCACCTTCCACAAATATTTGTTATCCTTGCTTTTTTGTGCTTTGATCAGTAGCTTAAATCTATCAGAATCATGGCGCTGAAGTAATTGATCCGTTATGGTGATGGAGTAAGGGGTCTTGTTTTCATAAATCAGTGTCTAAAAAAGTGTATTACGCAAAAAGTAGCATTATACAAGGAGCATGATACTTCCTTTCCTTCTGTACTCCTTTGCATGCTAGTGTTTAAAGCATTGGGCTTTGAACCGTTCTCATTTAAATCCTTCTTGCTGCTCTGCTTTAATTCAGCTTGGCTTTGGGATGTCTTTTCATAAATGTGTAATTTATTTGGTCAGATGTCTGATAATTCCATTTCATTTACTGAGCTGACTCGGTAGCCATCTTGGTGTAAAACACTTTTAATCTGTTGTAGTTCATTGTGTGTGCTTAAATCAAGATGGCTGCCGAGTCCAGCTCGGGGGGTTGTGGGTAACTGTCCTGGGTTTGTTTTGTTCACACCAATATTAGACACCTCCATCCCTCCCTTTTTTGTTTTACCCCCTACCTCCATCCCTCCCTCTCTTCCCCGACAGTCATTCAATGACAAGCGTAAAAAGAACCTATTTTCCCGAAAGTTCCCTTTCTACAACAAGAGCAAGGAGCACAGCGAGCAGGAAACAAGTGATGTCGATCGTAAGTACACCGTTAAAGAGCCGTTCACGGGCGGTCGCTAGAACAGTAGGTCAGGGCAGCCTCATGCACAGGACCGTACAGGTACCGCCAGACACAACCACTAGCGCTGCAGCGGATAACCCTAGTATCAAGGTAAAGCATTGGGCTTTAATAACTAGGGCCATAAGTTTTTCCTAACCACCAAGAAGGGATCTGGACCCATAGTTCTAACTAATATTAGCTCAATCTAAACAATACTTTTATATAAGGAGTCCTCTATGGATCTGGCCTGCATTTCCAGTAGCTTTGAGCATTGCTCATTGGTTTATCAGTTGGTCAGCTTGACCATTTGAGTTCAGTGCAGCGCTGCGGTCGTGCATGACGGTTGAACAGCGTGTTGTGTTCCAGTAATGAATATCTCTCTTGTGGTTGTGTCTCCTGTTGGTTTGCTCTCTGACGACTGCTTCACAGGACCCTGACGACAAAGGACTAAGTAAGTCACATAAGGATTTCACTGTCACACAACCATCTGAAGCTCATCCATGGCTCCCACAGTCATATAATATTGTAATTTAAGCCTTGACTATGACATCCAATGCATTGTCATCAAAACCTCTCTCATAGTCATCCAGCCTCTAACGTTTTGATAGTCGGCCTAGTTTGACTACATAAAAATATATACAACACTGCTTATTATCTATTCCGTTCAAAGCACAAACAGTACTCTCTATACACACATTGCATCCATGTAACACTACCCAACACTCATATTTCTAACAGATTGTCTTGACATCAGCCTCTGTACACTGTGATCAGCATTTACACTGTAGTCAGCATTACATTATCACCAGCAAACTGAGTCATATAGTGTGATGATGTCACCAAATCAATGGTGATTCGTCAGTTGGATCATGTAGGCTGCTTTTGCATTGTTACAGCAGGCTCCTCAGAGAGTACTATTGGTATGTGTTTCCCCAGCATAGATAGGCCAGTTTAGAGACACATACAGTAGAGAAAAAAGTCTGTAGAATAATATACTGTAGGGGACATAATAGACTGTCTTGACTCCTGTGTAGTCCAGGAGACTTAACTCTGATGATCCAAAGTTTTAAATTCTTAAAACTAATAGAAAGAACAACGAATATAAAATCACAAAACTATAATAACGTGTGGGTGTGTGTGTGTGTGCGTGTGCGCATGTGTGTTACAGAGGTGTCATATTACTGTCAGAATCACCATTTTGTTGGGGACCTTTTCTGTTGAACAAATCCCTATTCCACACCCTTGGCTGTGTTAAGACCCTTCAGGAGTCCTGAATGTTGTGCTAGTATGGTTCCAACCATAACTTAAAACATGTATTTTTAGTTCACCTTTATTTCTTCAGGTATAATCTCTTAGTCCAAAATGACCGCAGGGCCACAGTGTTGTAAAGAAAAACATGAAAACACACATTAACATGGTGTATAAAGCTCTATGACCTTGACATGGCCATGCATGCACCTTGATGTGATTTGATAGGAGGACCTGCTGTGATCTAATTTTAGGATAGAGGAGGAAGGTCTCACAGATATACCGTAATGCTGCCCTTCACAAAACCTAACTTGAGAGGGTATAGTTTTTAGAAAGCACAATACGTACAATATTCACACCTCCATCTCCTAAAGGTTCCTAGCACTGCACTCTCCTGGTGAACCCGTGTATCTCTGTGCCTTCACGTTGTGACCTTGTATTACGTTAACTCAATAGACGTCATCAGTGGGAGGGGTGTTTCTGTGATGCTGACATTCTCTTCGTTATACTTTCAGAGCATGTAACCTCTAATGCCAGCGATAGTGAAAGTAGTTACCGTAAGTCCTGGTGTCCCCTCTCCTTCCATCCCTCCCTCCGTCGACAGGCTGCCTGTATTCTTTAATTTGTTGTTTTACATGTCTCCATCATCATCTTCTGTTGTATGATCTATTCTGTGTTTGGTCTGAGCAGCATACTCAGAGGATCACACACGTTAGGGTCCCCAAGCTACTTCAGGGATGCATGTTGAAATAGAAGTCTTATTAGAACAGTGGTTCTCAACCCGAGGTACAGAGAGTACTTGAGAAGACTCATGAGACCATAGGCTTACTGGTAAAATGCACATGCGGGGTTCTTCAGCGGTACTCCGGACAGAGCTAAACGTATTCGGTGGTACAGTAACCAAAAAAGGTTGAGAACCACTGTATTAGGACAGCTACTGGATTGACATGAACACAATGTAGAGCTTTAGCAGTGTGTTTGTGTGTGAGAGGAACATAGAGAGTTGTGACTATACAGCAGGTGTTCTACTTTCTCTACTGCAATTAAATACTTTTGAAGAAAAGCAAATCTGCTCATACATATTCACAAGCTTTGTGACATGCATGCACATTAGCTACTCGTTTAATGTTGTTCTGTACAGATGGAGCAAAGGGGGTCATTAAGTGAATTCCATTTTGATACGCACACTTACAACGGGGACAAGGAGAATACTGACTGATACACACACTCACAAACAGCATGCCAACAGCTGGTCTGACTCCTAACCATTATCACAGTATCTACTGCACCGCCACTGTCTGTCTAAACATGACTGCCTGTTCTGTCTGTCCTATCAGGTAGCCAGGAGGAGTACGTCCTGTCCTACGAGCCAGTCACACAGCAGGAAGGTAAGACACTTACATTATCATCTCTGTCACACATCATCTGACATACAGCAGCAGAATCACAGGATAGCTCAGCTCTCACTGCCCCATTAGAGTTAGTTATCTGACTTGGTTACAGTATCTTAGTTGGTTTGTTATCTTAGTTAGTTATATGCTTATACAAGGGCAGTATTGATACAATAGATCCTTCTTGTCTGTCCAGTGAACTACACACGGCCCGTCATCATCCTGGGGCCAATGAAAGACCGCATCAACGATGATCTCATCTCAGAGTTCCCCGACAAATTTAGGTCCTGTGTCCCACGTGAGTACCAACATTTTTGTTACATACACAATTTTATGTTTTTATTTTAGTCATTTAGCAGACGCTCTTATCCAGAGCAACTTACAGGAGCAATTAGGGTTAAGTACCTTGCTCAAGGGCATATCGACAGATTTTTCACCTAGTCGGCTCAGAGTTACGAACCAGCAACCTTTTGATTACTGGCCCAATGCTCTTAACCACTAGGCTACCTGCCACCCTATGTTGACCCTTGTCTTCTACAGTTGAAGTCGGAAGTTTACATACACCTTAGCCAAATACATTTCAACTCAGTTATTCACAATTCCTGACATTTAATCCTAGTAAAACGTCCCTGTCTTAGGTCAGTTAGAATCACCACTTTATTTTAAAAATGTGAAATGTCAGAATAATAGTAGAGAGAATTATTTATTTCAGCTTTTATTTCTTTCATCACATTCCCAGTGGGTCAGAAGTTTACATACACTCAATTAGAACTTGATAGCATTGCCTTTAAATTGTTTAACTTGGGTCAAACGTTTCGGGTAGCCTTCCACAAGCTTCCCACAATAAATTGGGTGAATTTTGGCCCATTCCTCCTGACAGAGCTGGGGTAACTGAGTCAGGTTTGTTGGCCTCCTTGCTCGCCACGCTTTTTCAGTTCTGCCCACATATTTACTATAGGATTGAGGTCAGGGCTTTGTGATGGCCACTCCAATACCTTAACTTTTTTGCCACAACTTTGGAAGTATGCTTGGGGTCATTGTCCATTTGGAAGACCCATTTGCGACCAAGCTTTAACTTCCTGACTGATGTCTTGAGATGATGCTTCAATATATCCACATAATTTTCCTTCATCATGATGCCATCTATTTTGTGAAGTGCACCAGTCCCTCCTGCAGCAAAGCACCCCCACAGCATGATGCTGCCACCCCCGTGCTTCACGGTTGGGATGGTGTTCTTCGGCTTGCAAGCCTTCCCCTTTTTCCTCCAAACATAACGATGGTCATTATGGCCAAACAGTTCTATTTTTGTTTCATCAGACCAGAGGACATTTCTCCAAAAAGTACGATCTTTGTCCCCATGTGCAGTTGCAAACCGTAGTCTGGCTTTTTTATGGCGGTTTTGGAGCAGTGGCTTCTTCCTTGCTGAGTGGCCTTTCAGTTTATGTCGATATAGGACTCGTTTTACTGTGGATATAGATACTTTTGTACCTGTTTCCTCCAGCATCTTCACAAGGTCCTTTGCTGTTGTTCTGGGATTGATTTGGACTTTTCGCACAAAGTACGTTAATCTCTAGGAGACAGAACGCGTCTCCTTCCTGAGCGGTATGACGGCTGCATGGTCCCATGGTGTTTATACTTGCGTACTATTGTTTGTACAGATGAACGTGGTACCTTCAGGCATTTGGAAATTGCTCCCAAGGATGAACCAGTGTATGTAAACTTCTGACCCACTGGAATTGTGAAACAGTGATTTATAAGTGAAATAATATGTCTGTAAACAATAGTTTGAAAAATTACTTGTGTCATGCACAAAGTAGATGTTCTAACCGACTTGCCAAAACTAGTTTTAATGACTCCACCCTAAATGTATTTAAACTTCCGACTTCAACTGTACCTAACGGTGTGATAACGAGTTTGCAAGGGTTGTCGATAATTAAATGTATCAAACAAATTTAACTACATTTGTTTGGTTTTCCAGACACGACCAGACTAAAGAGGGATGACGAGGTGGATGCCAGAGACTACCATTTTGTGATGTCCAGGGAGCAGATGGAGAAAGACATCCAGGACCACAAGTTCATCGAGGCAGGCCAGTACAACAACCACCTCTATGGAACCAGCGTCCAGTCTGTACGGGAGGTCGCTGAGAAGGTGAGGGGAGGGGGAAGTGTCAGCATACGGCTATGTTTTGATGTGATGAGTTGTCTTATCTATCTCTCTTTATGTCCAGGGGAAGCATTGCATCCTGGATGTTTCAGGCAACGCCATCAAACGACTACAGTCGACCATGCTCTACCCCATCGCTATTTTTGTCAAGCCCAAGTCTGTGGAGAATATCCTGTAAGTTAATTTCATTCAACATTTCATTTTAAGAGGCCAAAGCAATGGGAATTAAGGGGCAATGGGAATTAAGAGTTCAGACTCTGTGTGTTTTTATTCACAGTCACCTATTTGCTGTATATAGGGCAATGTCTTAGTCATTCTCTCTCTCTCTCTCTCTCTCTCTCTCTCTCTCTCTCTCTCTCTCTCTCTCTCTCTCTCTCTCTCTCTCTCTCTCTCTCTCTCTCTCTCTCTCTCTCTCTCTCTCTCTCTCTCTCTCTCTCTCTCTCTCTCTCTCTCTCTCCCCCCACCCCTCTCTCCCCTATAGAGAGATTAATAAGAGGCTAACAGAGGACCAGGGGAGGAAGATGTTTGACAGAGCCATGAAACTGAAGCAGGAGTTCACTGAGCACTTCACTGGTGAGTCCAGCCCCCCACACCAGTCCACTCTCAACCTGCTTCATACACTACATCTATTTCTGCACTCAGCATGATGACAAGTGTCTGATGTAGCAGATCCCTAAATTAAATAATGGGCAAAATACAGGAAAACCTGTCCTAGCTATAATATACACTGAGTATACAAAACATTAAGAACGCCTCTTTCCATGATATAGACTGACCAGTTGAATCCAGATGAAAGTTATGATCCCTTATTGATGTCACTTGTTAAATCCACTTCAATCAGTGTAGATGAAGAGGAGCAGACCGGTTAAAGAAGGATTTTTAAGCCTTGAGACGATTGAGACATAGATTGTGTATGTGTGCCATTCAGAGGGTGAATGGACACGACAAAAGATTTAAGTGCCTTTGAATGGGATATGGTAGTAGGTGCCAGGCGCACCGGTTTGTGTCAATAACTGTAACGCTGCTGGGTTTTTTACGCTCAAGAGTTTCCCGTGTGTATCAAGAATGGTCCACCACCCAAAAGGACATCCAGCCAACTTGACACAACTGTGGGAAGCATTGGAGTCAACATCGGCCAGAATCCCTGTGGAACGCTTTCAACACCTTGTAGAGTCAATGCCCCGATGAATTGAGGTTGGTCTTAGGGCAAAATGGGGTGGTGCAACTGAATATTAGGAAGTTGTGCCTAATGTTTTGTGTACTCTGTGTATGCATTTAGTATCTTTGAGATGTAGTAAGTAGCCTTGCTCGAGCCTTGGCTTGTGCGAGCCGGAACGGCTCATAGGATAAGGAGCCTATATCCTGTTTCTGCAGCGTGAGGCAGCTTAATCTACAAGTACACTCCCGATACAGGACACTAGTCTATCACTGAGATGTAGTGATGTGTCTAATGTATGTCCCCTCTGTGTGTTGCTGCAGCTATAGTCCAGGGGGACTCTCTGGAGGAGATCTACAACACAGTGAAAATCATCATCGAGGAGCAGTCAGGACCCTTCATCTGGGTTCCTGCCAAGGAGAAGTTGTGAAAGGAGGACAGAAGAGATTACCCTTATTTTCTTTAAGTGGTCTTCATATCGTCTCTGGTTTTACATGTCTTCTTATTTGTTTAATGTTTACCAACCTGGCCTGCTGTGATCGCTGGCCCTCTTGCCCAGACCTTAGGACCCCTCTCCTACACACACACCTCTCCATCTTTCACTCACTCTCTCACATACACACACAATTATTTAACGCTGTCTGTCTCTCTTTCTCTCTCACACACACACACACACACACACACACACACACACACACACACACACACACACACACACACACACACACACACACACACTCTATGTGGTTTTCTTGGGCTGTCTCTCACACAGACTGGTGTCTGGACCTTGTCTCTGGATGTTTTTCCTGCTAAGGGGGAAAGGCTCTGCCTGACCAGCATCATATGAGGAGATTTTTCTGGTACTATTCCTTAATATTTAAGGAACATGATTTAGATGCAATATTAATTATATATATATATATATATATTTTATGTATAGGTTTGTCAAAGGAAATGACATGAGGCAAAACGTAGCATGCTATAGCTTCAAAGAGCATGTTTCGGACAATTTTGACATTTGTTTTTGTTGTTCTTCATTTCTCCTTTAGACTTGTATCTGAACTGCTTTACTCAGCCATTCTTTTCACATGTTGTATATCCGCGCACACCAACTGTGTCTCTGCTCACCTGAAGTAGCCATACATACCTGTTTTAGTCTATTCGAACTGCACAGAGGTAACTAGGTGAGTGGTTAGTGGATTTCACTCTGGCACAAAAAGGTTGTTTCTATCATTAGCCGCCTTCATTCACTCCAATCCATTATGGTTTTCATCTATTCATGTCAATAAGCTTTTGGGGGGTTTACTTCCCGACCAGAAATAGAGTGAATGAATGAATGGCTGTTTTTAAACTGACTCCAGGAGTCCATGTATTAATATTAGTAGGAAGGAAGCGAAACACCAATGCAAAAAAGCAAAATAATGAATTGTACTCTGACATTTTAACATATATTTAACCCTCAGTCTACTGCCTATTTTGTTATAATAAAATGTCTATGTTGAGCTTTACTTATTTTCTTTGCATTGTCGAACCAGAGGATAGGGTTGGGGGTTAAGGTTAGGGTTGGCGACCGGACACATGTAAACCCTGACTCTGAACTCCAGTGACTGGCTGGGGTGTAAACTGTGTGTTGGTGAAGCAGTGGAAATGTAAACTAACCTATGTGTTGGCAGCTGGTTCTCCTCTCCCCCTGTCCATTCCACTTCCCTGTGAGTTGTATTTTTTCATGTGATGTGCATGGTTTTTAAAAGCAATAGTCTTTATTAAATAAAAAACAAGGAAACGAAAGACAAAAAAAGGATCCTGTTCACCAAGGATTGTGACAAGGTCATATCTTCAAGCTCCGCGAGGGGATCCTCCAGACAGACACACAGCAGGAGTGTGTACACACAGCAGTAGACAGTCCTCAAGAGTGTGTTCGTATCTGAAGGGAAAAGAGCTGACAACACGCTCCGAAGCGCAACGCCTTTACATGTCCTCCGGAGGGCGCCGTGCTCGAATCCTCCCTCCCGCTCCTGCTTCCACACAGATGATTGTTTTCTATACGACTTCTTCTTCTTCATCAGTTCAGCACAGCTTTCTATCTATCTCACTTTTGGATTTGAGTCTGTAAATCATCCCCTTCCTGATTCATTCCATTTGTCATAAAGAGGAGAACTGCCAATAAATCCTTTCTCATACATCGCAGTGCTGTGTGACTATTCCTTCTGGATGTGTCTCTCTCTGCCTCTACTGAAACTCTTAGGCTAATGGTGTCCTGTTTTGTAATTGATTTAAGTCCACTCAGATAGAAACACTCTTGTCAGAGTAATGCAGAGAGTTCCAGGATCCCCAAAAGCATTAGCATAAACCAAAAGTTACATGTGCACGTAAAAATGAAAAAGAACAACAACAAAAAATCCATGTCTACTTTGGGGGCTTTGTGCAGATACAAATACTTACTATAGTATGTGCTTACTATATTCTTGGAATTCATTCATCGCAGGCATTTTATCCACTGCTTTTTAGTCTTCTCCTAGGGAAAATGTATAACGTTAAATCTATTTTCGTGTTGTGAGTATGTGACATGGACATGTCTGATGTGTCTCTCAGTTGTTTTAAGAAATGGATCAGTCTGCTACTGTGATTGGCTACAAAATATAATTTTATCAATAAGAACTTGGCACACAGACTCTCTCAGGATGTTCATGGGTTCATGTCCTAACTGTAGGGTAAGCAACATTTATTTCCTGTTATGAACAACTGTCAAGTTTGATGGGGCAATAAAGTACAGGTATCTGTAAGTGGCCAGGTATCTGTAAGTGGCTTGTGCAAGGCTACTTACTTATCTTTAGTCAGGTAGTTGATATGTAGTTCCACCGGACAGGAGGCATCTGATTATTTCATGATCCCACTTTAGGAACGCCAGCTCTGTACTGATCTCTATGGTCCCCAAAATACAGTGCCTTGCAAAAGTTTTCAGACCCCTCGGATTTCTTCACATTTTATTCTGTTACAAGGTGGGATTAAAATTGATTTAATTGTCAGTTTTTGTCAACAATTTACATATAATACTCTGTAATGTCAAAGTTGAAGATTTAAAAAATATATATATATAGTCATTGCATAAGTATTCAGCTCCCTGAGTCCATATATGTTAGAAACACCTTTGGCAGTAATTACAGCTGTGAGTCTTCTTGGGTAAGTCTCTAAGGATTGTGCAATATTTTCCTATTATTCTTTTCAAAATTCTTCAAGCTCTGTCAAGATGTTGGGGATCATGGCTAGATCGCTATTTTCAAGTCTTGCCATAGTATTTCAAAGCTGTAACTTGGCCAATTAGGAACATTCACTGTCTTCTTGGTAAGCAACTCCAGTGTAGAATTGGCCTTGTGTTGTAGGTTATTGTCCTGCTGAAAGCTGAATTCCTCTCCCGGTGTCCAGTGTAAAGCAGACTGAAGCAGGTTTTGCTCTAGGATTTGCCTGTGCTTAGCTCTATCCCATTTGTTTTTATCCTAAAAAACTCCCCAGTATTTGCCGATGCCAAGCATACCCATACCATGATGCAGCCACCACCATGCTAAAAAATGAGGAGGCAGTTACTCAGTGTGTGTTGTGTTGGATTTCCCACAACATGGGGCTTTGCATTTAGGCCAAAAAGTGTATTCCTTTGCCATGTTATTTTGTATATTTGTGTTTTCTTTTCACTCTGTCATTTAGGTTATTATTGTGGAGTCACTATAATATTGTTGATCCATCCTCTGTTCTCTCCCATCACAGCCATTTCACTCTGTAGCTGTTTAAAATCAGCAATGGCCTCATGGTAACATCCCCCAACAGTTTCATTCCTGTCCTGCAGCTCAGTTCAGAAGGACGACTGGGTGGTTTAATACATAACTACACCATGCTTAAAGAGATGTTCAATGTCTGATTTGTTATTGTTACCTATCTACCAATCACTGCCCTTCTTTATGAAAAGCTCCCAGGTCTTTGTAGTTGAATCTGTGCTTGAAATGAAATACTTGACTGAGGGACCTTACAGATGTTGGGTTAGTCATTTAAAAATCATGTCAACCACTATTATTTCACAAAAAGTGAGTCCATGTAACTTTTTATGTGAATTGTTAAGCCAAATTTTACTCCTGAACTAATTTAGGCTTGTCTTATGGATGGTTCAAAACAAAACAAAAGCTGCCACTAAATTCTGAGGTTACAATGGTTTACTTTTATTCTAGAAAACCTGTGTTTTAGATTCTAGAGAGATTAACAACTCTTACATCATAATGCTTCATATATTTATACATGTTGTAATGGGGGAAGAAAGCTATTACAAAACTATTACATCATATTGTGATGTGAACACCTGGCCAAATTGCTGTGGCTGAAATGCTGTGCAGCCAGAGACCCTGCTTGAATTCACTGTGATCCTGATTGAGTTTAGGAGGGAGAACGGAAATGCAACCAGGCAAATCTGTTTAGATTGCTGATAAGGTTTTACTGATGCAGGGCATGCACAAAACTAAATATGAAGATGTCCACATCAGTTAATGGAATATGAGCTTGAGCTTCACATTTAATGTATCTCCTTTTATCCTAGTCAGGAATTACTTTTGTGAACATTTTTATTTGGTTGTACTGAAACACTGGTAATTAAATAAACAAGAGAAGACATAAGAAAGACAGTAGCATTGGAAATTAGTTATTTAGGATGATGCACTTTTATTAGTATTATTAGTCTTCACATCATTTCTACATTTGAAAAAGTGCAACAAGATTCCAGAAATTGTATTTGTCATTGACTGCGTCAGGCAGAAGAAGTTACTACAGTTACTATGTCCAACCCCCACGTCCTTGAAGTGTGGACGATGGAAAAACACAGAGCAGGGCCAGCAGAGGTGGGGTCTTCCTCATCAATGGCCTCTTTGTGCTCGGCCTTGCCAGACACCAGCTGTAGGAACATGTCATCCCAGGTATGAGAAACTTCCTGAGGATTCTCCGTGAAAAACCTCGATAGAATGTCTTGTGATTCTCATACAATTATGTTGTAAAATACTCATAACTTGCTTCACGTTAGGCATTATGCGGAAAGCTCGACATGGAACTTGAACTTTGGAGCTGCTATCAGAGGTTAGGCAGTTAGAAATAATACTACAGGACCTGGTATTCTCACACCTGGCTGACACCATGGCAATGTGGATACTTGTCGCCTCTCTAATATTAGGTCTTCAAACTGGTGAGTTTCCTCAATATATTAGTATAGGACCAATTTATAATAAATGAAATAATCAGCCCATGTTCTTTCATATTCAATCCTTTTGTATTATAAAACAGTAGGCCTTAAATAAAGGTTTGGTTTACATTATTTTCAAAAGATTTTTAACATATACACTACCAGTCAAAAGTTTAGACACACCTACGCATTCAAGTGTTTTTCTTTATTGTTACTATTTTTTCACATTGTAGAATAATAGTGAAGACATCAAAACTATGAAATAACACATATGGAATCATGTAGTAACCAAAAAAGTGTTAAACAAATCAAAATATATTTGAGATTTGAGATTCTTCAAATAGCCACCCATCAACTTCACACCGAAAGAGGAAGGCATATCAAGTAAATCTGTTCACTGGTTCATACAGATGAAGTCGGAAGTTTACATACACCTTAGCCAAATACATTTAAACTCAGTTTTTCACAATTCCTGACATTTAATCCTAGTAAAAATTCCCTGTTTTAGGTCAGATAGGATCACCACTTTATTTTAAGAATGTGAAATGTCAGAATAATAGTAGAAAAAATGATTTATTTCAGCTCTTATTTCTTTCATCACATTTGCAGTGGGTCAGAAGTTTACATACACTCAATTAGCATTTGATAGCATTGCCTTTGAATTGTTTAACATGGGTCAAACGTTTCAGGTAGCCTTCCACAAGCTTCCCACAATAAATTGGGTGAATTTTGGCCCATTCCTCCTGACAGAGCTGGGGTAACTGAGTCAGGTTTGTAGGCCTCCTTGCTCGCACACGCTTTTTCAGTTCTGACCACAAATGTTCTATAGGATTGAGGTCAGGGCTTTGTGATGGCCACTCCAATACCTTGACTTTGTTGTCCTTAAGCCATTTTGCCACAACTTTGGAAGTATGCTTGGGGTCATTGTCCATTTGGAAGACCCATTTGCGACCAAGTTTTAACTTCCTGACTGATGTCTTGAGATGTTGCTTCAATATATCCACATCATTTTCCTTCCTCATGATACCATCTATTTTGTGAAGTGCACCAGTCCCTCCTGCAGCAAAGCACCCCCACAGAATGATGCTGCCACCCCCGTGCTTCACGGTTGGAATTGTGTTCTTCGGCTTGCAAAGAACCCCCTTTTTCCTCCAAACATAACGATGGTCATTATGGCCAAACAGTTCTATTTTTGTTTTATTAGAGCAGAGGACATTTCTCCATAAAGTACGATCTTTGTCCCCTTGTGCAGTTGCAAACCGTAGTCTGGCTTTTTTTTGGCGGTTTTGGAGCAGTGGCTTGTTCCTTGCTGAGCGGCCTTTCAGGTTATGTCGATATAGGACTTGTTTTACTGTGGATATAGATACTTTTGTACCGGTTTCCTCCAGCATCTTCACAAGGTCCTTTGCTGTTGTTCTGGGATTGATTTGCACTTTTCGCACCAAAGTACGTTAATCTCTAGGATACAGAACAAGTCTCCTTCCTGAGCGGTATGGCGGCTGCTTGGTCCCATGGTGTTTATACTTGCGTACTATTGTTTGTACAGATGAGCGTAGTACGTTCGTGGTTTGGAAATTGCTCCCAAGGATGAACCAGACTTGTGGAGGTCTACCATGTTTTTTCTGAGGTCTTGGCTGATTTCTTTAGATTTTCCCATGATGTCAAGCAAAGAGGCACTGAGTTTGAAGGTAGGCCTTGAAATACATCCACAGGTACACATCTAATTGACTCAAATGATGTCAATTAGCCTATCAGAAGCTTATAAAGCCATGACATCATTTTCTGGAATTTTCCAAGCTGTTTAAAGGCACAGTCAACTTACTGTATGTAAACTTCTGACCCACTGGAATTGTGAAACAGTGAATTATAAGTGAAATAATCTGTCTGTAAACAATTGTTGGAAAAATTACTTGTGTCATGCACAAAGTAGATGTCCTAACCGACTTGCCAAAACTATAGTTTGTTAACAAGAAATTTGTGGAGTGGTTGAAAAACGAGTTTTAATGACTCCAACCTATGTGTATGTAAACTTCCGACTTCAACTGTATGTAAGTTGGTGATTTACTAGAGATTCAAGTAACTTATTTAATGCACCTGAAATGCACTTACAATAACATAGATTGTGGAGCGAGAGACCCATTTAACTCAGAGTACTTCACCCCTCATCCTGTAAGCTGGCATGCATAAGACTAAATTGGTTGATAATTAATAAGTCCTATCCTATTAAAGGGGACAAGGTCATATCCCTGACAACGTCAATTTATCCCCTAGCAAATCACTATCACCCTAACACTGACCCCTGACCTCAACAGGAGAGGGCACCACCTACTATGCGGTTGCCGTGGTGTAGAAGACAAACCCGAGCATTAACATCAATATGCTGAAAGGCAGGAAGACGTGTCACACAGGGAAGGGCCGTACCGCCGGCTGGAACATGCCTCTGGGATACCCCATTGACCAGGGCAAGATGTCTCCAAGGGCTGTGACATCCCACAGGGTAGAACGCACAAAAACACACACACACACTCACACTCTACACTGTAGGTGTTCTGGAAACCAAAACAATAAACTGTGTGTGATGTGTTTCCTCCAAGGGGTGGCAGATTTCTTCAATGCCAGCTGTATCCCTGGGTCACAGGGGGACCCGCTCTCCCTTTGCCAGCTGTGTAAAGGCAACGGAGCTGGACAGTTCATATGTGACAAGACTGAAAATGAGAGATACTACGCTTACAACGGTGCCTTCAGGTAAAGTAACCCTCTCATGCTGATACTGTGCAGCCTTTACGACTATACTCTCAGCGGTTAACCCACAGAATATGATTTCTATGTGTTAACCACTATACTGTGCTCTCTCTGTCTATCTCTCTCTGTCTTTCTTTCTCCCTTTGTCTCTTTCTCTCTCTGTGTCTCTCTCTCTCTCTCTGAGACAGATGCTTGGCTGAAGATGCAGGGGATGTGGCCTTCGTGAAGCACACCACAGTGGCGGAGAACACAGACGGTAGGCTGAGCTCTTCTCTATCCTCCCAAACCCTCCTTCCCTCTGCCCTCCACCTCCTCTGCCCCCTGTTGGTGTATAACTGTATAACCCTGTGTCTGTTTTTTCCTGCTGTGTTCGGACTACGAGCTGCTGTGTAGAGACGGGACCAGGGCCCCAGTGAGAGAACACCACCGGTGCCACCTGGTCAGGGTGCCAGCCAGGGGCATCGTGGTCAAATCTGACATCAGTGGCACAGCGGTCTACGACATGCTGACCGAGGGACTGGTGGGTATTCTTCATTACATTTCTATTTTTTGTCAGATTTATTTTTTGTTCTGTGTTGTGTGTTATATATAGTATGGTCGGGCTGTTTCTCGCTATGGCAAAGACACTCTTGAGACGTAGTCAGAGGTACCCTGGTCTTGTTGTCTAGATAACCCTGGTTTAATACTGGTTGTGTTTTTTTTATCAGAAGAAGTCAGGTTTCCCCATCTTTCAGCCGGGCGAGTTCGGCGATAATTTGCTGTTCATGTCATGAGCCCTCTCACTCCACCGGGTTACCACCTTAATTTGTTTCCACTATCTTCCACTCTGCTCACCACTCTCTCTCTACTCAGCCTAACTAGCTCCACCTGTCCCTGCTCTGCTCGGCTCTAATTACTCTGCCAGCTGCGCTGCATTACCCACTAACCTCTCCCAGTATTTAAAGCCCTGTCTTTCAGCTCTCCTTTGTCAGATCGTCTGCAAAGCTCACACCCGGAACCTGTTTGCTCGCGCTTCTGGCTCACCCTTGTTTTGTGACCCCGGACCTGCCTGATTCTTGGATACTCTTCTGCCCCAGGAAAACCAGACCTGCTTTCTGCCATTACGACTCCTGACTACTCTTCGATCCCGGTAACTCTGACCAGCCTTCTGCCTTGCTACAACGTATTTGGATTTCCCTTGAACTGTACTTCTGCCTTGTTTCATCCGCCCCGTTGTGTCTGTGTTTCCCCCCCCCCCAGGACTTCTGGACCACCAACCACCGGCGTCATAGGACGCATCGCTGCCACTGGGGGGGGCACAGACCCAGCACATTGGACGGAATCCCTGTTATTCCCAGTAACCCCTGGAGCCTTCACTCACTCCCTACTTCCCTTTTCCCTTAAGTTTTAATAAACTTTCTGGTGTGACGCAATTGTGGTCCTCTGGTCGTCTGTCTGAACCGTGACAGTACGATCTGACCATCATGGACTCAGCGCACACTTCCCCCGACATGGAAACCGACGAACCTGAGCAACCCACCGCCATGCTACGCCTGGAACACACTGAGAGAGAGCTAGCCCGCATGAGCGGCGACATCACCTCTCTGCTTCAGGTCGGCCACCAACAGCATCAGCAGTTCCAGCAGCACCAGCAGCAGTTCCAGCAGCAGCAACAACAACTCGCCATGATCATCCAACTCCTCACCAACCTTACCCCAGCCACTCCGCCCACCGGCCCGTTTCCAGGCAGTCTGCCCACCAGCCCTGCCCCCGAGTTACCTGCCCCGGTCATTGCAGCCGCTGCTCCGGAACCCAAGATTGGAAACCCCGAGCGGTTCAACGGCGATTCTACCCAGGTCCGGCCATTCCTGACTAGCTGCCGACTTCAGTTCTCCTTGCAGCCAAGGACCTTCGCCACGGAGGGGGCTAAAGTTGGGTATGCCATCACTCACCTGACGGGCCGAGCTCGACTCTGGGGAACAGCAGAGTTCGAACGTCAAACCCCCGCATGTGCAACCTTCGACCTGTTTGCTGAGGAGATGCTGAAGGTGTTTGACCTGGATTCACCAACCGCAGAGGCGTCTCGTGAACTGTTCAGTATTCGACAAGGCAGACGTACAGTCGCAGACCATTCCATCGACTTCCGAACCCTGGCAAGACGAAGTTCTTGGAACACACCATCGTTGGTGGACGCGTTCTTCCATAGCTTGGCTGACTATATCAAGGACGAGTTGGTCTCCCATGAACTGCCTTCCACTCTTGATGAAGCCATCGCACTGACTGTCCGGATCGACAGAAGGATACAGACCCGTCGTCGTTAGAGGGGGCGCCAAGGTCCACCAACTACCGGCATTCGGAGAGATCCGACTGGGCTCCTGTCATCTACTGCCACTCACCCAAGTCAGCTTGATCAGTCTGAGCCTATGGAGATTGGGCGAGCCTCTCTCACTCCTGCAGAGCGCCAGCGCCGCTTCACCTCAAACCTCTGCCTCTATTGTGGAGGTGATGGACATCGTGTGGTAACCTGCCCTTTAAAAGCCGAAGCTCACCGGGCATAGGGGGAGTCCGGTTGAGCTCAATGACCATCCAGTCCTCCGACCGCAAACCCCTGCTGCAAGTTCACCTCCGCCTCTCTGACTCAACTCACACCCTGGCTGCTCTGGTGGATTCTGGCGCCGAAGCCAACATAATGGACATCAAGCTGGCACGCCAACTGGGACTGGAGAACCTCCGTTTGACACCTCCTATTCCTGCCCGGGCACTGGACGGACACTTACTCGGATCGGTCACTCATGTCACGGCCCCGGTCTCGATGGGTCTGTCCGGAAACCATCAAGAAACTATCCAGTTTCACCTGCTCCCCTCTCCAGGCCAACCCCTCATCCTGGGTTACCCATGGCTCCGCCGGCACAACCCTCAGCTCGACTGGGTGACCGGGGTGATCAGGGAGTGGGGAGAGGACTGCCACCGAACCTGCCTGCTTGCTGCCGCACTACCCCCTCGGCCAGTACCTACTAACTCCGCTCCTGACCTCTCCAATGTCCCAGAATGCTACCATGGTCTCAGAGAAGTGTTTAACAAAGCAAGAGCCACATCTCTGCCCCCTCACCGACCGTACGACTGTGCCATCGACCTCCTCCCTGGAACAGCCCCTCCAAAGGGCCGTCTTTATTCGTTGTCTGCTCCTGAAAGAAAGTCCATGGAGGACTACATCAATGACTCTCTGTCCGCAGGATTAATCCGTTCATCTTCATCTCCGGCTGGTGCTGGCTTCTTCTTTGTGGGGAAGAGGGACGGATCTCTTCGCCCCTGCATCGACTACAGGGGACTCAACGACATCACAGTGAAGAACCGTTACCCTCTGCCTCTGCTCACCTCTGCTTTTGAGTTGCTCCAGGGAGCCACTGTTTTTACCAAGTTGGATCTCAGAAACGCTTACCACCTAGTGCGGATCCGGGAGGGAGATGAATGGAAGACCGCATTCAATACACCAACAGGCCACTACGAGTATCTGGTTATGCCTTTTGGCCTCACCAATGCTCCTGCTGTGTTCCAGGCTCTAGTGAATGATGTACTGCGGGACATGTTAAACAAGTTTGTCTTCGTTTACCTGGATGACATCTTAATCTACTCCAGAAACCTGTCTGAACACACCCGCCATGTCCAGCAAGTCCTTCATCGTCTTCTGGAGAATTCCCTCTACGCCAAGGCAGAGAAATGTGAGTTTCACGTCAAGACAGTGGCCTTCCTGGGGTACATAGTGGCAGAGGGAAGTATCCAAATGGATCCTGCCAAAGTATCAGCAGTCACTTCATGGCCAGTTCCGGAGAACAGAAAGAAGCTGCAACAGTTTCTGGGGTTTGCTAACTTCTATAGAAAGTTTATCCGGAACTACAGTACCGTTGCTGCCCCTCTCACTGCTCTAACCAGCACCAAGCAACCCTTCACCTGGACCCCAGCAGCCGACAAGGCCTTCAGTACCCTCAAGGTAAGGTTCACCTCCGCTCCCATCCTCCAGATGCCTGATGTGGACCGGCAATTCATTGTGGAGGTGGACGCCTCGGATGTGGGAGTTGGTGCTGTGATTTCTCAGTGGGCTGCGGAGGATAGGAAGCTCCATCCCTGTGCCTTTTTCTCACGTCGGTTGTCCCCCTCTGAGTGCAATTACGACATAGGGAACCGAGAGCTGCTGGCTGTGAAGCTTGCCTTGGAGGAGTGGCGTCACTGGCTGGAGGGGTCCACCATTCCATTTCTCGTTTGGACCGATCATAAGAACTTGGAGTACATCCGCACGGCCAAACGGTTGAACTCCAGGCAGTCCCGCTGGGCCCTGTTCTTCACCAGGTTTAATTTCACTCTGTCATACCGGCCTGGATCACGCAACACCAAGCCAGACGCCCTCTCCCGTCAATTCCAGAAGGATGACAACCCCTCCAAGGATCCTGTGTCGATTCTGCCAAGTCCCTGCATCGTAGCAGCTCTGACCTGGGCTGTTGAGGAACAGGTGCTGGAAGCTCTCCGTAACCAGCCAGGTCCCAGCACTTGCCCAGCTGACCGCCTTTTTGTCCCCGAAAACCTGAGGTCCCAGGTCGTTCAGTGGGGACATGACTCCCGTCTAGCTTGTCACCCTGGCTCCACCCGCACTTACAACCTGCTCGCCCAGAGGTTCTGGTGGCCCTCTCTGAGAAAGGATGTACGGGAATTCGTCCAAGCCTGCCCCATCTGCAACCAACACAAGTCGTCCTGCCAGCCCCCAGCCGGATTGCTGCAGCCCCTGCCTGTGCCCAGACGTCCCTGGTCTCACATCGCCCTTGACTTTGTCACGGGGCTGCCCCCTTCAAGTGGCATGACCGTCATTCTCACCATAGTTGACCGATTCAGCAAGATGGCACACTTCATTCCCCTCCCCAAGCTCCCAACCGCCAAGGAGACCGCCCAGGTGGTCCTGGAACACGTCTTCCGGATCCACGGACTGCCAAAGGATGTAGTTTCTGACCGTGGTCCACAATTCTCCTCCGCTTTTTGGAAGGAGTTCTGTCACCTGCTGGGAGCCACAGTCAGTCTGACTTCCGGATTCCATCCCCAATCCAATGGGCAGTCAGAGCGGGCAAATCAGGAGCTCGAGAAGGCACTGCGATGCATGACTTCACGCAACCCCCACTCCTGGTCGCAGCAATTGACATGGGTGGAGTACGCACACAATTCTCTGACCTGCTCTGCCATCGGTATGTCCCCTTTCCAATGTGTTTATGGATACCAGCCTCCTCTATTTGCCAGCCAGGAAGGGGAGGTTACTTGCCCATCTGCACTTGCTTTTGCCCGTCGATGTCGCCGCACCTGGTCACAAGCCCGAGCCACACTCCTCAGATCCGTTGCCAGCTACACTACCGGGGCCAACCGTCGGAGAATCCCTGCTCCCACCTACCATGTTGGTCATAGGGTGTGGTTGTCGTCGAAGAACCTGCCACTCAGGGTGGAGTCGCAAAAGCTGGCACCTCGGTTCATTGGCCCATTCCCTATCATAAGAGTGATTAGCCCAACTGCTGTCCGGCTCCAACTGCCTAATTCCATGAGGGTGCACCCCACTTTCCATGTGTCTAAGATTAAGCCCATTCATGAGAGTCCGCTGGTCCCTGCTGCGCCTTGTCCTCCTCCTCCACAGCTTGTCGATGGTGGTCTGGTTTACACCGTCCGCCGCCTGCTTCGGTCCAGACGGAGGGGTAGGGGTCTCCAGTACCTCATTGACTGGGAGGGCTATGGACCTGAGGAAAGGACCTGGGTGCCAGCTAGTCGGATTGTGGATAGGACTCTCATCACCGCCTTCCACCAACGGCATCCTGATCAACCTGCAATCCGTAGGGGCCGCCCCAGAGGGGTCCCTAACCGTCCTGCCCGCTCGGCTTCCTGTCCTGTGCCTGATCCTGTCTCGGGACCTGTCCCATCTCCCGACCACGGCCCTCCGGCTTCCTCCGAGGATGAGGACGTTCGCTCGGACCGTTCGGAGGAGTTCTAGCCCTCCTCCGGCTCCCCTCCTCCCGCCCGGCGTGGTGTTGCTCTTGGGACTTCTGGGGCCGTCCCTTGGGGGGGGGGTTCTGTCATGAGCCCTCTCACTCCACCGGGTTACCACCTTAATTTGTTTCCACTATCTTCCACTCTGCTCACCACTCTCTCTCTACTCAGCCTAACTAGCTCCACCTGTCCCTGCTCTGCTCGGCTCTAATTACTCTGCCAGCTGCGCTGCATTACCCACTAACCTCTCCCAGTATTTAAAGCCCTGTCTTTCAGCTCTCCTTTGTCAGATCGTCTGCAAAGCTCACACCCGGAACCTGTTTGCTCGCGCTTCTGGCTCACCCTTGTTTTGTGACCCCGGACCTGCCTGATTCTTGGATACTCTTCTGCCCCAGGAAAACCAGACCTGCTTTCTGCCATTACGACTCCTGACTACTCTTCGATCCCGGTAACTCTGACCAGCCTTCTGCCTTGCTACAACGTATTTGGATTTCCCTTGAACTGTACTTCTGCCTTGTTTCATCCGCCCCGTTGTGTCTGTGTTTCCCCCCCCCCAGGACTTCTGGACCACCAACCACCGGCGTCATAGGACGCATCGCTGCCACTGGGGGGGGCACAGACCCAGCACATTGGACGGAATCCCTGTTATTCCCAGTAACCCCTGGAGCCTTCACTCACTCCCTACTTCCCTTTTCCCTTAAGTTTTAATAAACTTTCTGGTGTGACGCAATTGTGGTCCTCTGGTCGTCTGTCTGAACCGTGACAGTTCAGTGATTCGTCCACAAAGTTCCTGGCGGTGGAATCTGATGATCCTAAGGTGTGGTTGGGCCCCATCTACCACAGCACTCTCAAAATCATGGACTGCATCCCAAAGGGTGAGACGACCTCTGACCTCCCTCTCTCTCTCTTTATCTCTCTCTCTCTGCCACCCTCTCTGCCTCCATCTCTCTCTCTCTCTCTCTCTCTCTCTCTCACTCTCTTTCTTTCTCACTGTGCATGTTTGTTTGTATTAAACAGACTATGGTCCTTTCTGTGTGTGTGTGTGCAAAGATGCCCCAGTTCCTGCGTTGGTGTGTGTTGTCCAGCGGTGAGCAGCAGAAGTGTGCAGACATGTCCGAGGCCTTCAGTGCCAAGTCTCTGCTTCCCAGTATCCAGTGTGTGATGGGATCGTCAGTGGAAAACTGCATGAAGAAATTCCAGGTAAAACAGACACTACATTTACGTTTTACTTTTATTTAAAGGGACACTTCAACACTTTTTAACCACATATTCATTATCTCCAACACCATACCAGCCTCTTCATGTGAAAACAGTGTTTTTTTATCTGATGAGATAACTAATGAATTGAACTCTTATGTATGTGGAATAGTTCCAAAAGTACAAACCCAACCCATCTGTCACTTCAGACTCTCAAAGTATTAGAAAGAAAACAAATACTATGTGAACCCAAGTTTGGTAGACTCACAGGGCTCTTTCTACATGGGCTGTTGAAAGAGACTAGGGTGTAGGAAACTTATATCTCTGATATCCTTCCCTTGTGTGTGTTTGTAGAATAAAGAAGGAGATGCCATTACCCTGGATGGAGGTTACATCTACACAGCAGGGAAGACCTATGGGCTGGTGCCTGTTGCTGGGGAGAGCTACACAGGTAGGACCCCTCTACCACCAATTCAACCAAGCAGAAACGGACATGTCCTCAATACTACGTTTTGCTTAAAACAGCAGTCAGCAGTAGAAACAATAACAAAGCAGCCTCCCCACCCCTGGTTCGGTAAAAAGCTGAGGGGTGGGGCTGGAGAAATGTTATCACTCTCAAATTCATAGACAGAGCTATGGATGCAAGGACTGACCATCCATGATATCAACATGATAGTTTAACCATGTTTTGAGGCTGTATAGTGTTTGTTTGTATTTTCTTTGTTTACAAACATTGGAGTAAAACAAGCTTATATTTTGGGTTCTGATGGGGTACGACAGTTGAACTAAGGCATTTATAAGTTATATTCTTCAAGAATCAATGGGTATATATCATTCAGTTATAGGTCCAAAAATGGATGTAGCAACGGCTGATTGCCCCTTTAAAGGCTCAATGCAGCATTTTTTATATCAATATCAAATTATTTCTGGGTAACATTTAAGTACCTCACTGTAATAGTTTTCCATTAAAATGTGCAAAAACAGCTTTTTAGCAAAAAAACTTTCTCAAGCAAGAATTTTGCTAGGACTGTCTGGGAGTGGTCTGAGTGGGGAGGGGAAAACTGAAAACTAGCTGTTATTGGCAGAGAGGTTTGGAACTGTCTTTGTTATTGGTCTATTAACCAATTTACCGCAAGGTGATGTCACTATGGAAAGTCGAAACTCCCGCCCCTTGCAAACCTGCTGATTAGAAGGTCCTGTGTAGACTGTATTTTCAACCAGCAATTATTAGGAAATAATACTGATCAACATTTTTCACACTTTTACACTATTAGTTTCATCAACTGTTGTACAATATGATATAAAACACACTTCTGCTGCTCACCGCTGGAAAAAAAAAAAACACACCAACGCAGGAACTGGGCCTTTAAGTTCCTTCCACACATATGGGGTTTGATCATGTGATGATTTGCTGCAAATCAAATTGCCTTTTGGGACAATAACTAAACACACAATAAACCCTCTTCCTCTTTTCCTCTTTCCCCTCCTCCTCCTACCTCTTCCTTCTTCTCCTGCTCCTCCTCTCTCTCATAGGGGACAGTGATGGCAGTATTTACTATGCCGTGGCGGTAGTGAAGAAGTCCAACCGCGATATCACCAAGCTGGAGGACCTGAGGGGGCTGAGCTCCTGTCACACTGGCTATGGCCGTACCGCCGGCTGGAACATCCCCATAGGCCTGCTCATAGAGAAAGGCCTCTTCAGACCCGCACAGTGCCAGATACCACAGGGTAGGTCATAAACCAGGGTGTGTGTGTCTGTGTGTGTGTGTGTGCATGTGTGTGTGCATGGAAGCATGTGTGTTCATCTTACTTTCCTACTGTCTGTCTGACCCTCTCTGTCTCCTTCTGTCCACCTCAGCCGCTGGAGTTTTCTTTAAGAACAGCTGTGTCCCTGGTGCCAATCTGCCTGGTTTCCCTGACAACCTGTGTGGCCTATGTGTTGGGGACAGCAGCGGGCAGAACAAGTGTGAGAAAGGCAAGGACCTGTTTGACGGATATGATGGAGCTTTCAGGTACAGTACATCTCACAACTTAATGGTACACTTAAAGAGTTTGGCTCAGACATAGATTTAGACATAGAGATTTAGAGTTGTATAACAGGCACCAAAATGTGCCAAGACAATTCCATTGCAGTTATAACACCAATTACAGTGTTATATTCAATGAGTGTATGCCAAACTATGTACATGTTTATTGGCTCTGGTTTGGTGCAATGTTGGATAGGGAACATACTAGGGATAGATAGCGTCATTGACTTTCATACAATGTTTGTTCATTTGAATCAGGTGTTTGGCCAAGGGAGATGGAGAGGTAGCCTTCATCAAACACACCACTGTCTTCCAGAACACTGATGGTAAGTGTGTGTGTGTGTGTGTGTGTGTGTGTGTGTGTGTGTGTGTGTCAGAGTTATTATAATAAACTAAAACTGAAACTAAAACGAAAACTAATCATGAAAAAAACGATTTAGTAAACTGAAATAAATCATTAACAAATCCGTTTGAAAAACTAAAACTATACTGAAACTATTATCTTTGACTCCAAAACTAACTACACTAAAATGAAAACCATCATGAATAATGTCTGATGGGGGTTTTCAAGCTTTTTTTCTAATGGGGTTTTCAAGCTTCTGAATTTGGCGGGTCACATTGAGATTTAATTTATAATTTAAAGGTAGACTCAGTGAAATGTTGTTGCCACGAGCAGCACCGCAGATATTGGGTGCGTTTGAGTGGTAAAGCTAAAGCAACCGACTGTAGACGAAAGTCAAGGAGTAAAGTCAGGCTGGGTTGCATCTGCGACAGCCAAAAGTCAGACACTATTGTTGTTTTCAAAAAGCAAGGCTCAGATCAATATGACAGTGTTCCCATTGTTTATAAAAGGTTTTCTTTATAATGTTGAAATAAACATGTATCTAACCCCCATATCACATACTCACAAACTGAAATCATAATATAATATTATGTGTGTACACATTGTACAATCAATCAGTGTGAGAGAGACTAAAATATCACATTTATTTGCATACATCCACTGTACACATAAATCACAGTAAATTGGTTTCTGTTTCAATCATGTCTTTGGTCACGTTTCCGTCAAACAAAAACACCCTAATAATGCAGGCGATGGCTGCAGGATGAAGTCGGTGAGGAGCAACTACAGAAACTTGCAGTCGACTGCAGTTAAAACTTCATGGCCTTTGATCACATAATTTGTGCAAAGTTAATGTCGGCATGTACAGTGGCTTGCGAAAGTATTCACCCCCCTTGGCATTTTTCCTATTTTGTTGCCTTACAACCTGGAATTCAAATGGATTTTTGGGGGGTTTGTATCATTTGATTTACACAGCATGTCTACCACTTTGAAGATGCAAAATATTTTTTCTTGTGAAACAAACAAGAAATAAGACAAAAAAACTGAAAACTTGAGCATGCATAATTATTCCCCCCCCCAAAGTCAATACTTTGTAGAGCCACCTTTTGCAGCAATTACAGTTCTCTCTGCTACCGCACGGCAAGCGGTACCGGAGTGCCAAGTCTAGGTCCAAAAGACTTCTCAACAGCTTCTACCCCCAAGCCATAAGACTCCTGAACAGCTAATCATGGCTACCCAGACTATTTGCACAGCCCCCCCCCCACCCCATCTTTTTACGCTGCTGCTACTCTGTTCATTATTTATGCATAGTCACTTTAACTCTACCCACATGTACATATTACTTCAACTACCTCAACTAGCCGGTGCCCCCGCACATTGACTCTGCACCGGTACCCCCCTGTATATATAGCCTCCCTACTGTTATTTTATTTTACTTCTGCTCTTTTTTTCTCAACACTTTTTTGTTGTTGTTCTATTTTACTTTTTTATAAAAAAATAAATGCACTGTTGGTTAAGGGTTAGGGTTAGATAAGATAACAAAATACAAACAAAAAAACATGTGATTTCTATTTATTTTTTTGTTCCATTATCTTTGAAATGCAAGAGAAAGGCCACAATATACTATTGCAGTTTAGGCGCAATTTAGATTTTGGCCACTAGAAAGCAGAAGTGTGTGTGCAAAGTTTCAGATTGATCCAGTGAAGCATTGCAATACTGGACTATCTTGTATCAGGTCTGCCCAAATGTGCCGAATTGGTCAATTGACACATTTTCAAGTACATAACTATAGAGAACAAACAAAAATGATATGGTAACACAAAATGTAAGTTTACACACTCCCAGGAATGTCATACATGATGGATCATTAGCTTATACACTAACTTTCACACATCTAGATGGCCGGGCGGGGTGGGTGTGGAGCCAGAGACAGCAGGGGTTCAAACTGTAGAACCCAATTCCTACATTTGAATATAAAAATGGATTTTATCAAACAAAACTATGCTACATTTTATCTCTGGAACTCTCAGGATGACAAATCAGAGCAAAATTACTGAATGTAAGTATATTATTTACCTTCAGAGGTAAATGTATCAATTCAGGTGCCGTGATAAGTTTTTTGTTGTTGTGCACTCTCCTCAAACAATTGTATGGTATTTTTTCATTGTAATAGCTTCTGTAAATTGTACAGTGCAGTTATATGAACAAGAATTTAAGCTTTCTGCCCATATAAGACATGTCTATGTCCTGGAAAGTTTGCTCTTAATTACAACAGTCATGCAAATCACATTGGCGCACATTAGCTCAACCGTCTGGGACACCGATCCCGTAGAGGTTAACAGAAGACAGGTCCAATCGGGTCCAGTTGGTAAATCTATGTTAATTGCACATACCCGAGACCCGTGGCAATAATATCAGACCGGACCCAGATCCGAGACAAAAGTCACCGGTCGGATCTCGGAATTTCGGGTCTGTTGGACCCGTGGAGACCTCTACTTCATGCTGCTACAACGTGGTAGCTACGGGACCAAAACAGTAGAGAAGTTTAGCCTCACACTTCTACGCTCCTGAGCCCTATACTACATACCTGGTTTGAGGAGTTAGCGAGGTAACTTTGGTCAACTCTGAGTTCAACTAGGGATTACTGGTACCACTAAAGTGGTTCACCTTTAAGGCAGGTACCAACACATTTATACAGAACAAACCTGCTCCGGGACAGGCTAACTCATGGCTAACTCCATTTATACTAAATGAAGTGTCTGAGCCACGAGTTGAGGCCCAATGAAAGCAGATTCCTCCTTCTCGCATCATCCCCTTCTTTTGAGAAAGACGATAAAATATTTTATGAATAATTTGTTTTGTGTGTAAAAAAATTGTCATGTTAAAATACCTATCACATTTAGTAATGACAGAATGCATTGGAAACTTCACACACAATAAAACTTTTGTATGACTTCTCGAAATGAGTGGGGGAAAAGGTGCCTAGCAGTAACCGAAAGGTTGCTGGTTTGAATACCAGCGCTAACAAGGTGAAAAATCTGCTATTGTGTCCTTGAGCAAGGCACTTAACACTAATTTGCTCTAGGGGTGCCGTACTACTAAGGCTGGCCCTGTAAAACAACACATTTCTACTTTGTTTTACTGTGGCTGACTCTGTAAAACAACACATTTCACTGCACCTATCCGGTGTATGTGACAATAGAAAACATATATTTTTATTATTTTTTATTAACGATACGTAATAATATAAAGACTGCACTTCTAAAAGCCTATTTCACATCATAGCCAGCTGAAATTGAACGATAACTTTTCTTTCGTTTTGATTTTCGCACAAATGAAAAGGTGGCACTGACTCTCCCATGGATTGATGTTGCAGCATTGTCTCAGTGAAGAGTTCAGCATTCGACTAGCCACGTGTGACATGCACACGCAGTTACAAGCCTGCTAGATTTAGCGGCAGGCGGACAAGCAATATCCACCGTCGTAATACGAATGAAGCCTGAGCTGGAATGTGAAGCTAACTGAAGCTGGCTAGCTTTAGAAAACCCTGAGTAGGGGCTCCATATGATCCACATCGCGGAAATTCAGCTTTACGGTGTAATTGAAATTTTACAGAAATGTTCCCGCTTTACCGGAGACTGCATTTACGGTAAACACTGCTTATGTCAGCAAAATCAGAAATTACTTTTAAATTTCTATCGCAGAATCTGTAAATTGACATCCCAAAAAACACAAAAACTAAACACATAAATGGCTAACCTTCCACATATAGGCTTCTTTGAGGCCCTAACACTAAAACTAGAACTGAAACTAAATAATATAAAAACGTCAAACAAAATAACATGTTTTTATCAAACTTAAACATAATAAAAACTAGTAAACTGGATCTGAAAACTAACTGAAAATGAACTGCATTTCTAATGAAAATCTTAAAACTAATAGAAAAAATATATACAGTTGAAGTTGGAAGTTTACATGCACCTTAGCCAAATACATTTAAACTCAGTTTTTCACAATTCCTGACATTTAATCCTAATAAAAATTCCCTGTCTTAGGTCAGTTAGGATCACCACTTTATTTTAAGAATGTGAAATGTCTGAATAATAGTAGTGTTACGTGTGAAATGTTTTTCTTTCTCCCAATCTTCCTTTGTGGTGTGTGTGGATCAGAGTGGTTGTTCTGTTTGTGGGTTCTGGTCATTACAGGTGTGCTGAGTTGCGGCTGACGATGGTGGGCGTGGCTTGTGTCCGGAGTCCTGGCAGCTGTGGCTGATTGACTAGAGTATAAACTGTTTGCCGTGTGAGCTCGAGAGGAAGAGGGGGTACTTTTTGTTTGGCTGAGGATTTGGTTATTGGTTGTTTTAATTTATCTTTGTTTGTGTTCCAGCCTGTCATCCTGTTGTATTCCACCCTACCTGGGTCCTGGAGAAGGGAAAGGTAGTTCTGCCCATGGGTGTACATTCACACAGAGATAACCCACTGTTTTACACTCTAGGTTAGCCGTGCGGGTGTCACCCCTGTATTTGTGGTAACAGGTAGGAAAGCTGGTTAAGGGTTAGAGTGTGATAGGAAGGATTAGGTGTGTAGAAGAGAAGGGATCTTTTGTTTATTTTCATTACTTGGACCCCGACCCCAAACATTCCCTTCTCTTACCTTCCCTGGTTTGTTTGATTGGTTTTTGTTTTATTTACTGTTTCTTTATGGGTGTTGTATAATTCTGTTTAATTACTTTACTAAATGTCCCTGAGGGCTAACATTGAGTTCAGGTTGTTGTGTCTGGTTATTTTAGTTCATTACACCCCACATTTCTTCCTCGTCCATCTAGTTTACATTGTGTGCGCAGGCACGGGCATTTACGTCTCCTCCTCAGACGATCTACACCCTAGGGGAGAACGTAACAGAGAATTATTTATTTCAGCTTTTATTTCTTTCATCACATTCCCAGTGGATCAGAAGTTTACATACACTCAATTAGTATTTTGTAGTATTGCCTTTAAATTGTTTAACTTGGGCCAAACGTTTTGGGTAGCCTTCCACAAGTTTCCCACAATAAGTTGGGTGAGTTTTGGCCCATTCCTCCTGACAGCTGGTGTAACTGAGTCAGGTTTGTAGGCCTCCTTGCTCGCACACGCTTTTTCAGTTCTGCCCACAAATGTTCTATAGGATTGAGGTCAGGGCTTTCTGATGGCCACTCCAATACCTTGAATGTATTGTCCTTAAGCCATTTAGCCACAACTTTGGAAGCATGCTTGGGGTCATTGTCCATTTGGAAGACCCATTTGCGACCAAGCTTTAGCTTCCTGAATTATGTCTTGATGTTGCTTCAATATATCCACATAATTTTCCTTCGTCATGATGCCATCTATTTTGTGAAGTGCACCAGTCCCTCCTGCAGCAAAGCACCCCCACAGCAGGATGCTGCCACACCCGTGGTTCACGGTTGGGATGGTGTTCTTCGGCTTGCAAGCACCCCCTTTTTCCTCCAAACATAACGATTGTCATTATGGCCAAACAGTTCTATTTTTGTTTAATCAGACCAGAGGACATTTCTCCAAAAAGTACGATCTTTGTCCCCATGTGCAGTTGCAAACCGTAGTCTGGCTTTTTTATGGCGGTATTGGAGCAGTGGCTTCATGGTGTTTATACTTGTGTACTATTGTTTGGTAATTGCTCCCAAGGATGAACCAGACTTGTGGAGGTCTACATTTTTTTTATGAGGTCTTGGCTGATTTCTTTTGATTTTCCCATGATGTCAAGCAAAGAGGCACTGAGTTTGAAGGTAGGTCTTGAAATACATCCACAGGTACACCTCCAATTGACGTCAATTAGCCTATCAGAAGCTTATAAAGCCATGACATCATTTTCTGGAATTTTCCAAGCTGTTTAAAGGCACAGTCAACTTGTTTATTTTTTTGTCATTTAGCAGACGCTCTTATCCAGAGCAACTTACAGGAGCAATTAGGGTTAAGTGCCTTGCTCAAGGGCACATCAACAGATTTTTCACCTAGTCGGCTCGGGGATTAGAACCAGTGACCTTTCGGTTACTGGCACAACGCTCTTAACCGCTAAGCTACCTGCCGCCCCACACTTAGTGTATGTAAACTTCTGACCCACTGGAATTGTGATACAGTGAAATAATCTGTCTGTAAACAATTGTTGGAAAAATGACTTATGTCATGCACAAAGTAGACGTCCTAACCGACTTGCCAAAACTATAGTTTGTTAACAAGACATTTGTGGAGTGGTTGAAAAACGAGTTTTAATGACTCCAATCTAAGTGTATGTAAACCTGCGACTTCAACTGTATACTGAACAAAAATATAAGCGCAACATGTAAAGTGTTGGTCTCATGTTTCATGGGCTGAAATAAAAGATCCCAGATATTGTTCATATGCACAAAAAGCTTATTTCTCTCAAATGTTGTGCACAAATGTGTTTACATCCCTGTTAGTGAGCATTTCTCCTTTGCCAAGATAATCCATCCACCTGACAGGTGTGGCATATCAAGAAGCTGATTAAACAGCATGATCATTACACAGGTGCACCTTGTGCTGGGGAAAATAAAAGCCACTCTAATAAAATGTGCAGTTTTGTCACACAACACAATGCCACAGATGTCTCATGTTTTGAGGAAGCATGCAATTGGCATGCTGACTGCAGGAATGTCCACCAGAGCTATTGCAAGAGAATTGAATGTTCATTTCTCGACCATAAGCAGCCTCCAACGTCGTTTTAGAGAATTTGGCAGTACGTCCAACCGGCCTCACATCCGCAGGCCACGTGTATGGCATCGTGTGGGAGAGCGGTTTGCTGATGTCAACATTGTGAACAGAGTGTCCCATAGTGGCGGTGTGGTTATGGTATGGGCAGGCATAATCTATGGACAACAAACACAATTTCATTTTTATGATGACAATTTCAACGCACAGAGATACCGTGAAGAGATCCTGAGGCCCATTGTCGTGCAATTCATCCACCACCATCACCTCATATTGCATGATCATGCACGGCTCCATATATCACAAGGATCTGTTCAACATTTGTGGATGCTGAAAAGGTCCCAGTTCTTCCATGGCCTAAATACTCACCAGACATGTCACCCATTGGGCATGTTTGGGATGCTCCTGATCCACGTGTACGACAACGTGTTCCTGTTCCTGCCAATATCCAGCAACTTCGCACAGCCATTGAAAAGGAGTGAGACCACATTCCACAGGCCACAATCAACAGCCTGATACAACTCTATGCGAAAGAGATGTGTCGTGCTACATGAGGCAAATGGTGGTCACACCAGATACTGACTGGTTTTCTGATCCACGCCCCTACCTTTCTTTAATGTATCTGTGACCAACGAAGCAAAGCTGTCATCAAGGTAAAAGGGTGGCTTTTTGAAGAATCTCAAATAGAAAATATATTTTGATTTGTTTAACACTTTTTTGGTTACTACATGATTCCATGTGTTTTTTCATAGTTTTGATGTCTTCACTATTATTCTACAATGCAGAAAATAGTAAAAATAAAGAAAATCCCTTGAATGAGTTTGTGTGTCCAAACTTTTGACTGGTACTGTATATCTGTTCTCTAGGTAACTCAGGTGAGTCGTGGGCCATTGACCTGCAGTCTAAGGATTTCCAGCTCCTGTGCCCCCAGGGCTCCAGGGTGGAGGTGACCCAGTATGGCCACTGTAACCTGGCCCGGGTCCCCTCCCACGCCGTCATGGTACGGCCCGACACCAACATCTACGCCCTCTACGGCCTGCTGGACAAAGCACAGGTAAGACTGACTGGGCCAGTGGTTGGTTGATTGATTGATTGATAGTACACATGTAGCATAACATCATAGAAAGAAAGAAATTACCCCTTCTATTCACACCTTAAAAAGTGAACATTAAACAATTAACTACCGGTACATGTTTATTATTAACGACATGCTGATAAAACTAAGTGGTAGTTGATATACTTTCCTCCTCCTTATCTCTCTCCATGACTACTATAGTAGTCACATGCATTCAGAGTTCAAGATGTTTGACTCGTCTGAGTACCAGGGCTCTGACCTCATCTTCAAAGACTCCACTGTCAGTATGATCAGAGTGGCTGAGAGGAAAACCTATGACCAGTGGCTGGGACAGGGCTACATGGACTCATTCACCAACATGGAGTGCAACTCCTCTTCTAAAGGTACAGTGTACACACACACTTTGATCTCACTCATTTTAGTGACAGTAATGCTTTGAAAATAGTAGCTTTCATATGTGTTGGTGTACTGAATACAGGAGGTTGGTTGCACCTTAATTGGGGAGAAAGGGCTCATGGTAATCCCTGGAGCGGTATCAAATACATAAATAACATGGTTTCCAGGTTTGATGCCATTCCATTAGCTCCGTTCCAGACATTATTATGAGCCATTCTCCCATCAGCAGCCTCCACTGGTACTGAAGTATGTTTGTGTGTTTTTCCTGCAGTACTGTCCTCTGTCTCCCTGCTCCTGGTGGCACTGATGAGCTCCATCTTCATCTGGGCGTAAGAAGACTTGTCCTTCCCCAAACCCAACCCCAAACCCCATCCATGTTCCAGCCCCAACTCTAACCCCTGTCCCAGCTCCAACGTCAGCCCCAGTCCCACCTTGAACATTTCAACCCTAGCCACAGTCCCAGTAGCAACCTAAACCTCTGTTCTTGTCCCAACCCAAATATTCCATTCCCAGTCCTAACCCCAACCCCAACCCCAGTAGCCTACTACCGCTGTAGGGAATCTCTCCTCTCCTGCCAAAGCACCAGCAATAACACTGAACATTACCACCCAATGAACCGCAACAGCTTTTCCTGTCTTTAGGAGATGCTGCCTCCGTCCCTTCATCTGTATGTAATTCATGGCTTATGATTGTACTACAGATTTGCTTACTACTGTATATGTTGATGTTAGGATTTGGTCATTGTTGTTGAGTCAGTGAGTCACTTATTGAGCGTGTCTCTCAATGGGGAAAAGAGAATACAGCTTTATTTGGTTGAGCCATAGGAGATTAACTCATTCCCAACCAGAGATGACGAAGGACGTCATTGCTATTATGCTTACCGACGGTAACTGCCATATCAGTGCATATGCTTTTAACTGTTACATACTTTACTATGCAGTGTTTGTCTTTCCCAAGGATTTATGTTGCCTACACTAACTGATGAAAATGATGAAAATTACAGGCCTCTCTCATCTTTTTAAGTGGGAGAACTTGCACAATTGGTGGCTGTCACGAACGTCATAATGAGTGGACCAAGGCGCAGCGTGATATGCGTACATCTCTTTAATAGTGTACTTAGCAACACGATACAAATAACAAAACAACAAAACGAAACGTGAAGTCCTCGGTCATACACAAACCTACACGGAACAAGATCCCACGAATCACAAGTGCACAAAAGGCTGCCTAAGTATGGTCCCAATCAGAGACAACAAGCAACAGCTGATTCACGTTGCCTCTGATTGAGAACCACCCCGGCCAACAGAACATAGGAAACGAAACATAGACACTACACAAAGAAACTAACACCCTGGCTCAACATACAAGAGTCCCCAGAGCCAGGGCGTGACAGTGGCTGACTAAATACTTTTTCCCCCACTGTATGGATGGTGTTAAGAGATAGATGGGAGGTATTGAATAGAGTTGAAGGATGGGACTAATAACAAATAACAACAAATAATAACAAAGATAGCTAATAATGTAAGCATACTGTGTCCATAATAAGTATATAGGTTGTATGTTGGGAGCTTTTGGGAAAGAGCACAGTTAGAAAGATATGGCATATAGAAGCAAACCGGATGGACGTCATGAAAATGATCGGAGAGGTTGATAGTAGAAGAAGTTCAGGAGCAAAATATATATATATATATATATATATATATATATATATATATATATATATATATATATATATATATATATATATATAATATAATTATTGTAAAAATAACTCTGTCCATAAGGTGTAGATAGTAAGTATAGACCGGAAGTAGAGGCCTGGGCATTGTTGTTCACTAATTTACTCCAAGTAGGGAAAGGATGGCGGGGTTGAAAAGTAATAAAGGGGAGTATATCCATACACAAAAAAAAATGTATGCAAGCACGACTGTAAGTCGCTTTGGATAAAAGCGTCTGCTAAATGGCATATTATTATTATTATTATTATTATATATATATATAAAAAACATGGGGGATTGGAAGTGATGCAGACAATTACATTGATAGAAGATACAATCTATCTGCAATATTAAGCTGATCCATCCCCCCCCCCCAAAAAAAAAAATAGAAAAAGAAAAAAAAGAAATAAATATAAATAAATGAAGTAATAAATAAATAAATTAAAAATTAAAAACATAACTTTCTTTTACAAGTGAACTAACGCCATGCTGATGTTGTTGCCAGCTAGCCAGCATTAACTAGCTTGCTGGGAAGGAAGGGCTCATCAGGCACCAGGGGAAGGGCTCATCAGGCACCAGGGGAAGGGCTCATCAGGCACCAGGGGCCTCATTTATAATCGTTGCGTAAATTTTATACTAAATATCAGCCTGCACTATTTCTGAAAAGAAAAATATTGAGATTCATAAACTTGGTACATGCCATACATATATAAGTCAGACCTGTCCTAAATCTGTTCACGCGTGAACGAGCATTAAAACTCAGCCTGAATAACGCCCATCATTCCCCTTTTATGGTGACAATAATGCTCTTATTTGCTGTATACTTTCGAAATATTGGAATTAGGCCAAGACAGTATATCTACAGGAAATATAAATGGCGAACTTGATCAAATGACTTTGGAGGTGTTGGCAGAATGTCTTTTTTTGCAGTGACATTTGCTATATCTGACCATTTCTGAAACACAAAAACAATTGCAAATTGTTGTGGACCTGTAAACAGATGGTTTGAATTGAATAATGTTTTGCATTTACTTTCTCCCGAACCTAAATATGCTGCACCGCTCGCAAATTCTGAAACATTGTCTACTTGGGTTTTATTTATTTTTTTACTAGCGTAGGCCTACTTACAGTGGTAACCTATTAAATTCTACTATATGACCTTTTCCTCAGTTTCTCAGAGATCGTTTATGGTAGTGGATTCTAAACTTGATTCAAACAACCTACACCTGTCCTTGGTGTGGTTATTATATATGTAAATCAAACTGCAAATGCATGGTGTCTTAAATACAAGGAGTGAAGTGTTACAATTTACCCCATGGTCTGGGTTAGTTGTAACAGTGCTTGGGGTGAATTGTAACATAATTAAAAAGTGCATAAATCATGACATGTAACTAGTTATTGAATGCCTTTATTGAGACCATGAGAGCTACATTGGCATGTTTAGCATTTTGTTTGATAGAAATAATAATAAATGTAAATGATAAAATGTTTATTATTTTACCCTTCACTAACTGATCTTTCTCAACCAAACAACAACTAGGCTAAACTAAACACCTGAACGTTTGTGGTGTGTGTGTGTGTGTCTGTGTGTGTAACTGAATGTGGGACATGTTCACTTAATCAGAGTCACAGTTGTGACACTGGTATGGCTGTCCTGGGGTACAGGCTTGGTGGGCCCTCAATTTGCATTCCTAGCACTGCACCCAGACCTTCTTGGACTTGGAATTGTTCAAGTGCTCCATGCACACAATGCAGAGGTTTTCCTCATTGGAGGAATCTGAATCTTCTGGTTCAATGTGCTTTGTTTTGTATTTTTTCTTAGGCAGGACAGTTTTTGTTGTTGTTCAGTGTCTTGGCTTGCTTCTTTCCAGCTGTTCTTTTAGGCAGAGCAATTTTTATTTTTGCCTTCTGAGTGCTTGACTTTTTATGCTCTTCTTCCAGTGCCTGCTTGATGGGTGTATCCGTCAAAAATCACAGTTTTTCTCCTCTTCCTACCATTGTTGTAATTTTCCTGGGCCCTGCTTTTAGGAATGGGCGTACATCAACTGGGTTTAAATCAGAAGAGTAATCAGGTGTTTCCCAGCCACAGCCTGATATATGTGGGGAGGTGCCCTGTGAAGTGGCTGGAGAGTTGGCCTGGAAGGCAGCTGGAGAGGTGGATTGGAAGGCAGCTGGGGAGGTGGCCTGGGAGGCAGCTGGAGAGGGGGCCTGGGAGGCAGCTGGGGAGGTGGCCTGGGAGGCAGCTGGAGAGGTGAGCTGGGAAGCAGCTGGAGAGGTGGCCTGGATAGCAGTGGGCACAGTGGGCATAAATCAGCTGCCCTCAAGAGATACTCTGACAACTTCTGCTCCTGCTCATCCATGAAGACCCTGTTTCCGCTACGGTAGCCTACATGAGGAAGCGCTCTCAACCCCTTCTCCAGTAGCTTCTTTCTCTCTTTGCAGAATCTGTACAGCATCACATGACATATGCCATACAACTTTGCAACTGATCTGATTGACTTCCCATGCTCTGCTACATCATTTGATGCTCTTTTCAAAGTGTGGAAAGGTACTCCCCTGTCTGTCTTTCTTTTCCATGATCTAGGCATGCTGAAAGTAAAAGATAACATGTACCAAAAACATTCCGTTTTACTGAGTTAGTTGTAACATCTTCTCACAAGTTGTTACAACTAACCCTGACCCTTGCAGCCATTAGCTAGCTTCCATTTTAGCTAAATGTTAAAACTTTTGCATTGCTAACTTGTATGGGGAATTTATTATTCTCATAATTGATGGGATGACTAACTTAGAAAGAATGCATTCTAGACTGGGCTGATGTAGATTGTGTCACCTAGCAAGCTGTGATTGATGTGAAGAGCTGTTTTAGGGGGTAAGATAAGATAATAATTTGTGTCTCCAAATACTAGACTATACTGGTTCTTTGTGATCTGTGAACCATCCTTGGACGTAGGAATGGTGTCTAGGGGAGCTGGCTCTTCTCACCATGACAGGTTGTTATGATAAACTTATGCCTGGCAACCGGGATGCGCTAAGGGACTGGGATTAGCCCGTGCGTCAACGGATAGGCTGAGTAAGTCTAAACCACGCTCAGCCTCTACTCTGATTGGCCAGCAGAGAGCGGGAACTGAGAACTGTCAAGAGTATTTGAAGAACAATCTGAAACAATGGATTAGTTCTCTGAGTGCCCTGCAAGGTATTTCAAGGAGCCCGTATATACGAACATCATATTTACCATTGAAGGTTTTGCATTAATTAAAATACTAGTCTATTTAGAAGACGTGTATTGACCTCTTTTGTTCCTAATGCCAGATTTGAATTGACGCAACTTTGACACTTCCATCAAATATCTCTACTCACATTGGTTATAAACCTGATATAAGTTTGGTGAATGAAACTACAAAGCAGTTGATGCCATCACAAAAACAAATTTGGTCTAAATAATTACTTTCTTACCTCAAAATCAGATTTCTGTCAATAGAATCTGCAGAGTTTATCACAGGGACTTGCTTTTTCACATGAGGGTTCAGGACTAAACTGAGCGAAAAACCCCACAGAAGAAGACACCACGTCCTTTTTTGTTGCATGTTTCCGTTTCCTATCTGATTTTGTGTTCCACTACTGTCTTTGGTTCTACCAAAGATATTATAACTAACCCAAGATAGTTAATCTGTGTCGTTTACAGTGGGAGAAAATTAAGCATAGTGGGCAGAACAAGCAAAGAGGTGGGCAAAGCCAAGCACGAGCTAGCGAGATCCAATTTGTAGCGTTGTAGCATTACTCGCATATTTCCATTAGGGAACGCCTCTACTGTGAAGTGCGCTTGTGCACAAACTCAATTCGAACTTGCGTTTCTAAACAACGCTATGAAAAAAAATAAACACTTTGGCAAAGCGTCAAGTCTATAGGACTTAGTGCACTGTGTTCGTAAAATATTTTAGTTTTGGGAACAGAAAAATGTAATGCGATCAGATGTTTAATCTATGAGAAAATTTGCAGAATGTCTGCCCAATTTCACCTAAGTTCCATCCTCTCCCACTACCCGTGACTGGACTTCCTCTCACTACCATATTTGGTGGTGAGAAAATATTCTAAACGGATGCTTCAGCTTTATAGCCCCAGTGACGTGTCTGGGTTACCCCTTCTCTCTGTGGTTTTAATGTTGTTAGCATCATTGGAGCCATCATTGGGCGGTTTCTGACTTTCTGGCGGAAGGATGCACTGTTGAGCGTTACATCCCGAGGGGTTCGTGCTGATTGTACGGAGATTGTGACAGCCGTTTAAATGGCGTCCTTAGACAAGGCAAGAACTAGATGTATGTCAGGAGAAGTGCAGTACTATCATAAGGAGAGTTATACATGGAATACGGAGGAGGAATGGAGCGGAAAAGAGGCAGAGGAGGTCTAAGACAGAGAGGGAGGAAGAGGGTGAGCTTGAGTCAGTTAAAAATGCGGGGAAAAAGGAGATGGTTTGTTAAAGAAGAATGGTAGAAAGTGTAAGCAGAGTGAGTTGAAGACAGGAGGAGAAATGGAAGTGAGTGAGAGCGAAGTATCGGAGGTGATAACTGTGGTGAAGTTCTCTGAGGTTTGCAGCGATGGTCAGGATAAAGATGAGTCTGTGACAGTAGGAGTGAAGTTTTTGGAAAAAGTGGACCCTTGCCTTTTGGCTAATCCATTTGTGGTTTCAGGGTTGGTGAAAACAGAGTTGGGTGCTGTGGAATCGGTGAGGGTAACCAGAAGTGGTCTAGTGATAATTGTTTGTGTTTCTGCTGGTTAGAGGGAGTAGGCGCTCCATGTTAAACGAATGGGGGCAAGAGATGTGAATTGTTTTGCTCTCAAGAAAAGGGCGCCATTGAAAGGTGTGATTACAGAGGTAGCGGTAAATGTGAAAACTGACCAACTGAAGGGGAAGATTCCCGGTGTTTATGATGCTTGTTGTTTGGTGCGACGCAGACAGGGGGGCATGAGTGGTGACACAGAAGAGTCATTGTCTGTTCTTTTGAGTTTTGATGTTGAGTCTTTGCCCGACAAAGTGATGTTAGGATATATAAAAGTTATCCGGTACGAGCTTTTGTGCCGAATAGGTTACGTTGTTACAGGTGTCAAGCTTATGGGCATGTGGCAGCAGTGTGTAGGAGGGAGGTTCCTAGGTGTGAGAAGTGTGCAGAAGGGCATGAGATAAAGGAATGTGTAGCATTGGGGAAAGTAGTGGTATGTGTTAATTGTAGGGGTGCCCATGGGGCTGTAGATAAGAAATGTCCGGTGCGAGAGAGGCAGGTTGAGGTTTCCAGGGTTAGAGTAGTGAAGAAGTTGTCATATGCTGAGGCAGTGAAGAAAGTAGAGGAAGATGGGTCAAGGGGGAGGGATCCTGAGAAGAATGGTGTGAGTCGTATATCTGTACCAGTAAAGAGGGATAAACCAACAAGTGATATGTGTTTCAGTAACATTGGATTTTTGGCATTTATAGCAATGGTTGTCAACTGTACTGCAGGGATGGAATGTAAGTCACAGAAAATAGAGGTTGTGGTGGCAGCTGCAGAGAGGTATTTGGGTGTGTGAGACTTGACATCAGAAGAGTTACAGGGTGTGTTAAGTGGTGGTGTCCCATCCATTCAGGCTGTTGGCCTGAAGTAGGAATAAATAGATTTAAATAGCGGAGTATGGTAGTTATTATTATTATTTATTTATTGTGAGTGTAGTGTTAGATGGTAGGGTATTTGTTGAATTTTTTTTAAAGCAAAGTATAAGGGAGTTATACTCCAGTCTAGTAGGTGGCGGTAATGCAACATATATTGGATGCCAAAAGCCGTTAAACCTCATCGACGAAGAAGAACAAGCACAAGAAGGAGCCATCATGCTAGCGAGAACAGTTTACTCCATTTAATCTTTGAAACACGATGTCTATTAAATTAAATGCGCTAATCAGCGACTCCTACGTTGATGTAAGTCAATATAGAGACCAACATTTTAAGGTAAGAATGGTGAAATCAAGAATCGACTGAATATTTTTGCCAGCTAACTATTGTTTGTTAGCTAGCTAACGTTAGCCCATGATCAAGACTCTCAGTTCTATTACATCACACACAAGTCATTGGACGAAGGCGTCTGCTGTACGGGGGCGTTTTGTTAAGATTCCCGACGCTTGGTCTGAACATGATTATGTATCACTGGCGGTACGATTTTGGAAGTATAAGGACCTTATCTTTCATAACAGAAAAATAATAATAATAATACAAAAAATAAGTTGATACACACCTTTTTAATAGGGCCTCACGCAGCCATATTCCCATGTTATAGGGCGTTCACTCATTGCTGTAGAATGCAGAGAAAAACGGGGTTTGCTTGTCAGCTGAAGTTCTGCGGCAGAACAGCGCCACAGTTCACCACTTTTTGATCATGCCTGTGATGACATTACATTCACTCTAAACATGCAAAATTCTCAGTAAATCGTCTTAACTTTTGAACCATATATGGTGAAGAAGTGCTTCGGACTACTGTTTTTCTGACAATTTTATATTGGTATAAACCTTGAATTAATTAATCATTTTATGGGAGAACAGCCTACATGTTACATAGCTGGTTTACGGAAGACAGTGGACTACCTATGCTAATTACACTGAACAAAAATATAAACAACATGTCAAGTGTTGGTTTCATGAACTGAAATAAAATATCCCAGAAATGTTCCATACGCACAAAAAACTTCTCCAATTTTGTTCACATTTGTTTACATCCCTGTTAGTGAGCATTTCTCCTTTGCCAAGATAATCCATCCACCTGACAGGTGTGGCATATCAAGAAGCTGATTAAACAGCAAGATCATTTCACAGGTGCACCTTGTAAAGCCCTGTTTCCACTGGCACTTAAAATTTCAAAAGTTCAAGTTGGCTCGAATGGAATTCTCAAATTTGAGCTGAGTCAAGGGAAACCCGGGCCAGCGCAGTCCAGTTTCACAACTGGTGCCAGCTCGATTAGAATTGGGGCTGGTGACGCCGTTACTATGCAACCACCAAGCTGATCACTTCTGGATGTTGACACAACGTTTAGCTAGCTCGTCTTGCTTGTTGCTATTAGCTAGCATATGGACAAGCAGTCCTACAGTAGTCAAACATGAATTACCACCATAGCTGGATCCTTCATTAATTTTTGCACTACACAATAAACTTTTATGAGAACAGTCAGCCCTCGAATGCTAACTAACGTTAGCTAACTAACATTAGCTAGCAAATCAGAGTTGAAACTAGTTAGCTAGCTAGCAGGAATTTTAGCTGGTCAGGTTGTATTGAAAGCTAGCTAGTAACATCATATCAAACCTGTCGTCTGGTTTGCTTGGTTAGCAAGCTAATCGCCAATGACATGGCAAGCAAGGTAGGAATTAAGTGAGCAAGCTAGCCTGTTATGCTAACTGTTTAGCTAGCCCACCAAGGCCAGCCCAACCTAGGTTGACTTCAAAGTGCCAATGGAAACAGGGCTTAAAAGGCCACTCTAAAATGTGCTGTTTTGTCACACAACACAATGCCACAGCTGTCTCAAGTTTTGAGGGAGGATGCAATTGGCATGCTGACTGCAGGAATGTCCACCAGAGTTGTTGCCAGATAATTTAATGTTAATTTCTCTACCATAAGCAACGTCGTTTTAGAGAATTTGGCCGTACCTCCAACCGGCCTCACAACCACAGACCACGCGTAACCACGCCAGCCCAGGACCTCCACATCCTGCTTCTTCACCTGTGGGATCGTCTGAGACCAGCCACCCGGACAGCTGATGAAACTGGGTTTGCAAAACTGAAGAATTTCTGCACAAACTGTCAGAAACAGTCTCAGGGAAGCTCATCTGCGTACTCGTCGTCCTCACCAGGGTCTTGACCTGACTGCAGTTCGGCGTTGTAACCGACTTCAGTGGGAAGATGCTCACCTTCGTGTGGGCGAGCGGTTTGCTAATGTCAACATTGTGAACGGACTGCCCCATGGTGGGGTTATGATATGGGCAAGCCTAAGCTACGGAAATGAACACAATTGCATTTTATTGATGGCAATTTGAATGCACAGAGATACCGTAGCGAGATCCTGAGGCCCATTGTCGTGCCATTCATCCACGGTCATCACCTCATGTTTCAGCGTGATCATGCACGGCCCATGTCGCAAGGATCTGTACACAATTCCTGGAAGCTGAATGTCCCAGTTTTTCCATGGCCTTCATACTCACAAGACATGTCACCCATTGATCATGTTTGGGATGCTCTGCATCGATGTGTGTGACAGCGTGTTCCAGTTCCCGCCAATATCAAGCAACTTCGCACAGCCATTGAAGAGGAGTGGGGCAACATTCCACAGGCCACAATCAACAACTTGATCAACTCTATGTGAAGTAGATGTCACGCTGCATGAGGCAAATGACTGACTGGTTTTCTGATCCATGCCCCTACTTTCTTTTAAGGTACACTATATATACAAAAGTATGTGGACACCCCTTCAAATTAGTGGATTTGGCTATTTCAGCCACACCCGTTGTTGACAGGTGTATGAAATCGAGCACACGGCAATGCAATCTCCATAGATTGGCAGTAGAATGGCCTCATTGAAGAGCTCAGTGACTTTCAACGTGGTACCGTCATAGGATGCCACCTTTCCAACAAGTCAGTTCGTCAAATTTCTGCCCTGCTAGAGCTGCCCTGGTCAACTGTTAGTACTGTTATTGTGAAGTGGAAACGTCTAGGAGCAAAAACGGCTCAGCCATAAAGTGGTAGGCCACACAAGCTCACAATGGTACCGGCGAGTGCTAAAGCACGTAGGGCGTAACAATCGTCTGTCCTTGGTTGCAGCACTCACTACCGAGTTCCAAACGGCCTCTGGAAGCAACATCAGCACAATAACTGTTTGACGGGAGCTTCATGAAATGGTTTTCCATGGTCAAGCAGTCGCACACAAGCCTAAGATGACCATGCACAATGCCAAACGTCGACTGGAGTGGCGTAAAGCTCGCCGCCATTGGACTCTGGAGCAGTGGAAATGTGTTCTCTGGTGTGATGAATGAGTCTTCACCATCTGGCAGTCCGACGGACAAATCTGGGTTTGGCAGATGCCAGGAGAATGCTACCTGCCCCAATGCATAGTGACAACTGTAAAGATTGGTGGAGGAGGAATAATGGTCTGGGGCTGTTTTTCATGGTTCGGGCTAGGCCCCTTAGTTCCAGTGACGGTAAATCTTAACGCTACAGCATACAGTGATATATTCTAGACAATTCTGTGCTTCCAACTTTGTAGTAACAGTTTGGGGAAGGCCCTTTCCTGTTTTCAGCATGACAATGCCCCCGTGCACAAAGCGAGGTCTATACAGAAATGGTTTGTGGAGATCGGTGTGGAAGAATTTGACTGGCCTGCACAAAGCCTTGACCTCAATACCATCGAACACCTGAGGGATGAATTTGGAACACCGACTGCGAGCCAGGCCTAATCGCCCAACATCAGTGCCCTACCTCACTAATGCTCTTGTGGCTGAATGGAAGCAAGTCCCCACAGCAATGTTTCAACATCTAGTGGAAAGCCTTCCCAGAAGAGTGGAAGCTGTTATAGCAGCAAAGGGAGGGACCAACTCCATATTAATGCCCATGATTTTGGAATGAGATGTCCGACAAGCAGGTGTACACATACTTTTGGTCATGTAGTGTATCTGTGACCAACAGATACATATCGGTATTCCCAGTCGTGAAATCCATAGATTAGGGTCTAAACTCAACTTTTCGAAACGCTTACAAGGCCCTCCCCCGCCCTCCCTTCGGCAAATCTGATCACGACTCCATTTTGCTCCTCCCTTCCTATAGGCAGAAACTCAAACAGGAAGTACCCGTGCTAAGGACTATTCAATGCTGGTCTGACCAATCGGAATCCATGCTTCAAGATTGTTTTGATCACGCGGACTGGGATATGTTCCGGGTAACCTCTGAGAATAACATTGACGATTACACGGATACGGTGACTGAGTTCATCAGGAAGTGTATAGGAGATGTGGGACCCACTGTGACTATTAAATCAAATCAAAGTTTTTGTCACATACACGTGTTTAGCAGATGTTATTGCGGGTGTAGCGAAATGCTTGTGCTTCTAGCTCCAACAGTGCAGTAATATCTAACAAGTAATAGCTAACAATTTCACAACATATACCTTATACACACACATCTAGTAAGGAATGGAATTTAAGAATATATACATATGGACAAGCAATGACAGAGCGGCATGGACTAAGATACAGTAGAATATTATAGAATACAGTATATACATATGAGTATTGCAAGATATGTAAACATGATTAAAGTGACTAGTGTTCCATTTCTTAAAGTGGCCAGTGATTTCAATAGGCAGCAGCAGCCTCTAATGTGCTAGTGATGGCTATTTAACAGTCTGATGGCCTTGAGATAGAAGCTGTTTTTCATTCTCTCGGTCCCAAGTTTGATGCACCTGTACTGACCTCGCCTTCTGGATGATAGCGGGGTGAACAGGCAGTGGCTTGGGTGGTTGATGTCCTTGATGATCTTTTTGGCCTTCCTGTGACATCGGGTGCTGTAGGTGTCTTGGAGGGCGGGAGGTTTGCCCCCGGTAATGCGTTCGGCAGACCGCACCACCCTCTGGAGAGCCCTGCAGTTGTGGGCGGTGCAGTTGCCGTAACCAGGCGGCGATACAGCCCGACAGGATGCTCTCAATTGTGCACCTGTAAAAGTTTGTGAGGGTTTTAGGTGCCAAGCCAAATTCTTTCAGCCTCCTGTTGTTGAAGAGGCTCTGTTGTGCCTTCTTCACCACACTGTCTGCGTGGATGGACCATTTCAGTTTGTAAGTGACGTGTACACCAAGGAACTTGAAGCTTTCCACCTTCTCATTTACATTTGAGTCATTTAGCAGACGCTCTAATCCAGAGCGACTTAGTTAGTCTCCACTGCGGTCCCGTCGACGTGGATAGGGGGGTGCACCCTCTGCTGTTTCCTGAAGTCCACCATCATCTCCTTTGTTTTGTTGACGTTGAGTGAGAGGTAAAACCTACCCAAACCAGAAACCGTGGATAGATGGCAGCATTCGCGCAAAACTGAAAGTGCGAACCCACCGCTTTTAACCATGGCAAGGTGACTGGGAATATGTCCGAATACAAACAGTGTTTGTTATTCCCTCCGTAAGGCAATCAAACAGGCAAAACGTCAGTACAGAGACAAAGTGGAGTCGCAATTCAATGGCTCAGACACGAGACGTATGTGGCAGGGTCTACAGACAATCACGGACTACAAAGGGAAAACCAGCCACGTCGCGGACACAGTCTTGCTTCCGGACAAGCTAAACACCGCTTTGAGGATAACAGTGCCACTAACGTGGCACGTTACCAAGTACTGTGGGCTCTCCTTCTCTGTGGCCGACGTGAGTAAGACATTTTAAGCGTGTTAACCCTCGCAAGGCTGCCGGCCCCGACGGCATTCCTAGCCGCGTCCTCAGAGCATGCGCAGAGCAGCTGGCTGGAGTGTTTATGGACATATTCAATCTCTCCCTATCCCGTCTGCTGTCCCCACTTGCTTCAAGATGTCCACCATTGTTCCTGTATCCAAGAAAGAAAAGGTAAATGATGATCACCCCGTAGCATTCACTTCTGTCATCATGAAGTGCTTTGAGAGGCTAGTTAAGGATCATATCAACTCTACCTTACCTGACACCCTAGACCCATTTTAAATTTGCTTACCGCCCCAATAGATCCACAGACGATGCAATCGCCATTGCACTGCACACTGCCCTATCCCATCTGGACAAGAGGAATACCTATGTAAGAATGCTGTTCATTGACCAAAGCTCATCATTAAGCTCGGGCCCAGGGTCTAAACCGCGCCCTGTGCAACTGGGTCCAGGACTTCCTGACGGGCCGCCCCCAAGAGTTGAAGGTAGGAAACAACACTTCCACTTCGTCGATCCTCAACACAGGGGCCCCACAAGGGTGCGTGCTCAGCTCCCTCCTGTACTCCCTGTTCACCCATGACTGCATGGCCATGCACGCCTCCAACTCAATCATCCAAGTTTGCAGACGACACAACAGTAGTAAGCCTGATTATCAACAATGACGAGACAGCGTACAGGGAGGAGGTGAGGGCCCTGGGAGTGTGGTGCCAGGAAAATAACCTCTCACTCAACATCAACAAAACAAAAGGAGCTGATCGTGGACTTCAGGAAACAGTAGAGGGAGCACACCCCTATCCACATCGACGGGACCGCAGTGGAGAAGGTGGAAAGCTTCAAGTTCCTCGGCTGATGATCTGAAATGGTCCACCCACACAGACCGTGTGGTGAAGAAGGCGCAACAGCACCTCTCCAACCTCAGGAGGCAGAATAAATGTGGCTTTGCACCTAAAACCTAAAACTTTTACAGGTGCACAATTGAGAGCATCCTGTCGGGCTGTATCACCGCCTGGTACGGCAACCGCACCGCCCGCAACCGCAGGGCTCTCCAGAGGGTGGTGCGGTCTGCCCAACGCATCATCGGGGGCAAACTACCAGCCCTCCATGACACCTACAGCACCCGATGTCACAGGAAGGCCAAAAAGATAATCAAGGACATCAACCACCCGAGCCACTGCCTGTTCACCCCACTATCATCCAGAAGGCGAGGTCAGTACAGGTGCATCAAAGCTGGGACTGAGAGACAGAAGCTGTTTTTCAATCTCAAGGCCATCAGACTGTTAAATAGCCATCACTAGGCGGCTTCCACCCGGTTACGTAACCCTGCACCTTAGAGGCTGCTGCCCTATATACATAGACTTGGAATCACTGGCCACTTTAAATAATGGAACACTAGTCACTTTTTTATAATGTTAACATATTTTTGCTTTACCCATCTCATGTGTATATACTGTGTTCTATTCTACTGTATTTTAGTCTATGCCACTCCGACACTGCTCATCCTAAAATGTATATTTCTTAATTCCATTCTTTTACTTTTAGATTTGTGTGTATTGTTGTGAATTGTTAGATATTACTTCACTGTTGGAGCTAGAAACACAAGCATTTAGCTACACCTGCAATAACATCTGCTAAATATGTGTATGTGACAATACAATTTGATAAATGTATTTCAATTGACTGAAATTGTTGCATGTTGCGTTTTTATATTTTTGTTCTCCGTCTCTGAACACCTGTGTGTAAATGGAAGACAGACGCCACAAACGTTTTGTCACTTAAAAATACTGTCTGCTGCAACGGTTAAACCGGTTAAAACAGTGTATAGTAAGTGTGTATTTTGCATTTGTGAAATTAATTTTGATGTGATATGTAAGAGGGATTTATGTTTCTAGAACCGTACCGCAATTGAGAGTCGATTCATGTTTAGAGGGAATATTTGGCTTCCAGAGTCAATTCGCCCTTACAGAACATGTAAGGTCCTTGGATGATATTCGTAGAGGCTAGGATCTTGTTATTTTCAGAGGGAGAATGACTCTGGCAGCCAAAACAGCCAAATACTCCATCAAAACGTGAATTGATTTTCAATTGCGATATGGTTCTAGAAACATAAAGCCCTTTACTTTCATGCCACATCAAAAAAATTCCCAAATGCAAAATATACATTTACTGTACACAGTATTTTTCAGTGACAACACGTTTCTGGCAGCCTTCTTCCTTTACACACAAGTGTTCGGAGCATGCTAGATAGCTAATTAGCACAGGTGGTCCCTCTGTCTTCCGGAAACACACGCTGTAACATGGCGAAATGGCCTTGTGGGAACATTAACCCTAACGCTATAAAGGTGTGTAATAATTTAACCTTTTTTAGTTTTTTTGGTAATTATTTCTCGCCGATATGATTGATAAGGTCCTTATGCTTCCAAAAACGTACCGCAAGCGATGCGTGTTAATGTTGAGACCAAGCATCGCGGCTCTTAACAAATCCACCCACCCCCTGACCTCTATACTCATTTCCGTGGAAATTAGTGTTGAATGATACTGATGTTAGCTAGCTAGTTACTGTATGTCCTCCGGGCTGCTGTGCAGTTACATGACTCTTCTAAATATGTTTTCTCCTCTCCTCCTTCCAGGGCAATCGATATGAGCAAGAGAAAGTGCTGAGACAGGCTAACACACTCTACGTTGGTAACCTGTCCTTTTACACCACAGAAGAACAAGTGTATGAGCTCTTCTCCAAGAGTGGGGATGTGAAGAGAATCATCATTGGCCTGGATAAGGTGAAGAAGACTGCATGCGGCTTCTGCTTCGTCGAGTATCCTTTTTGAGTTGTTTGAGCTTTTTGGTTCAAGACTTGTAATTCTATACCCATACACTTTAGGCTGTGTTTCCGGAAGCAGATTAAGCCTAGTCCTGGACTAAACGCATGCTCAATGGAGATTGCCCATTCAAAGTCCTTCAAAGTCCTTCTTAGTCCAATAGTAGGCTTAATCTGTGTTTCTGGAAACTGGCACATTGGCCACAAGAGCGCCTTAATCCCTGTGCCAGGTACTACACGCGTACAGATGCAGAAAATGCTATGAGGTTTGTAAACGGGACACGTCTGGATGACCGCATCATCAGAACTGACTGGGATGCTGGTTTCAAAGAGGGCAGGCAGTATGGCCGTGGCAAGTCGGGTGGTCAGGTAAATTTACACGGGATGAATGGGCAAACCCAAGGGAAATGCATGCTTACTACCTTAGAGATGACATCAATGATTTGTGTATTAGCTGTGTTTTAGGTTTATATTGATTTTTGAATTGATAGTTTTCACAAAATTGTTTGATTTTAAAGTGATCAGCTAGGTCAACAAGTTAAGTGTATGAGAACGTTGAAAGTTACATAACACTAACAATGCTGAATTATCAATTGGACAAATGGAATGTTAATTGGTTATATAATTGTGACCATGTTGTCTCACCGTTCTGTGACCGTGTATATATGATCTATTATGTGAGCTTAGTCTGTGAACTATGCCACCCCCTTGTAGACCAAAACACTTGTCTGTGGCAAAATAAACAATTGGGTCTCTTTTTCTCCTCAGGTCAGAGACGAATACAGACAAGATTATGACCCAGCCAGGGGGGGCTATGGGAAAGTTGTATCACGACCATGAGAACATGTCCTATGCTGTTGCTTTGGGGGGGGGTGTCACAAGCCTGACTCAACCTGTTCTCTGCTGTTTCTGTGCCTTTTTGCAGGTCAGAGATTAATATAGAAAAGATTATGATCCTGCTCGGTTGATAATGGAAATTAGCTCTGCTGCAGAGACTTCCCGAGGGACGGAACAGTTTTACGTTTGGTGAATTTGACCTGGGCTAGATTTGGGTTCCAAACAGTTTTTTTTTTTTTGTTGGAAAAAGTAGTCCGTTTAAGCATTTTCAGTTAGCCAAAGTTTCATCAGTCATTTTGACCTGTGTAAGAATAAGCTTGCGCAGATAGGTTGCAGTCCACACGTTTACAAATGTAATTGTCTCCCAAACTGTGTATACTTTTTTTAATAAACATAAATGGATTTACAAATTGTTCTTATTAAGCACTGCTTTGTCCCTGAAATGTGGAACAGCCTTTCTGGTGTGATTCAGAATAGTTTCTCATGTATTATTATTATTATTGCTAATTCAGCAGGCTATCGTGTGAAATAGACTTTTAGGTGTGGTTATCAATGCACAAGCACCTTTTCTTCCCACTCCTATCGATAAAATAATTGTATTAAGTCATACAAAAGTTTTACTGTGCGTTAAGTTTCAAATGCATTTCTTACTAAATATGTAATGTGATATTTTAACATTATTTAACACACATTTGATTAATACAAGATGTAATTAGTTGTCATCCTCAAATGAAGTGGATGATGACACAATCTTTGTGAGGAGGCGGCAATCTGATTTGAAGTTGCAGCTCAGACACTTCATTCAGGATAAATGTAGTTATGCCGGAGTTAGCCTGCCCTGGAGCAGGCTAGTTCTGAAGCATTCTTTGCCATAGAAATGTACCTGGCTAAAAGGTAAGCCACTATCGTGGTACCAGTTATCCCAAGTTGACCAAAGTTACCTTGCTAACTCCTCACACTATACTGAACAAAAATAGAAACGCAACATGTAAAGTGTTGGTTCCATGAGCTGAAATAAAAGATCCCAGAAATGTTCAATACGCACAAAAAGCATATTTCTCTAAAATGTTGTGCACAAATTTGTTTACATCCCTGTTAGTGAGCATTTCTCCGTTGCCAAGATAATCCATCCACCTAACAGGTGTGGCATATCAAAAAGCTGATTAAACAGTGTGATCAGTACACAGGTGCACCTTGTGGTGGGGACAATAAAAGGCCACTAAAATGTGCCACAGATGTCTCAAGTTTTGAGGGAGTTTGCAATTGGCATGCTGATTGTAGGAATGTTCATCAGAGCTGTTGCCAGAGAATTGAATGTTCATTGCTCTACCATAAGTTGCCTCCAACGTAGTTTTAGAGAATTTTGCAGTACGTCCAACCGGCCTTACAACCGCAGACCACGTGTAACCACGCCAGCCCAGGACCTTCACATTAGGCTTCTTCACCTGTGGGATCGTCTGGGGGGGGGGGGGGGGGAGTATTTCTGTCTTTAATAAAGCCCTTTTGTGGGGAAAAACTCAATTCTGATTGGCTGGGCATGGCTCCCCAGTGGGTAGGCCTATGCCCACCCATGGCTGTGCTCTGTGACAAGATCCTGAGGCCCATCGTCATGCAATTCATCCACCGCCATCACTGCATATTTCAGCACCGCCCCATATTGCAAGGATCTGCACACAATTCCTGGAAGCTGAAAATGTCCCAGTTCTTCTATGGCCTGCATACTCACCAGAAAGGTCACCAATTGTGCATGTCTGGGATTCTCTGAATTGACGTGTACGACAGCGTGTTCCAGTTCCCGCCAATATCCAGCAACTTCGCACAGCCATTGAAGAGGAGTGGGACAACATTCCACAGCCCACAATCAACAGCCTGATCAACTCTATGCGAAGGAGTTGCTGCATAAGGCAAATGGGGGTCATCTTGAAAAATGTATGCACTCACTAACTGTAAGTTGCTCTGGATAAGAGCGTCTGCTAAATGACTAAAAATGTTAATGTAAAAATCTTTGTAGCTGCACGGTCGAACAGAATGCTACCAACCATAGTGGTCCAGTTGTGGTCAACACATGTAGTCCTTGTGCGAACGCTATGACAAAATACAACATTTTAATAACATAACGGGGGAAAGATATACAATAATAATATTCACATACTCCCATCATCATTTCAGAAGGCATTTAGTTTGTTGTGTTACAATCACCAGGTATGACTGAATAATAGAGTTGGTAATAGTTTTCTGATCCACGCCCCTACCTTTTTTTAAAGGTATCTGTACCCGTCATGTGAAATCCATAGATTAGGGCCTAATGAATTTATTTATATTGACTGATTTCGTTATATGAACTAACTCAGTAAAATCTTTGAAATTGTTGCATGTTGCGTTTATATTTTTGTTCATGCGTAGTAAACAGTCGTGGTCAAATGTTTTGAGAATGACACAAGTATTGGTCTTCACAAAGTTCACTGCTTCAGTGTTATGAGATACTTTTGTCAGATGTTACTATGGTATACTGAAGTATAATTACAAGCATTCCATAAGTGTCAAAGGCTTTTATTGACAATTACATTAAGTTTATGCAAAGAGTCAATATTTGCAGTGTTGACCCTTCTTTTTCAAGACCTCTGCAATCCGCCCTGGCATGCTGTCAAATAACTTCTGGGCCACATCCTGACTGATGGCAGCCCATTCTTGCATAATCAATGCTTGGAGTTTGTTAGAATTTGTGGGGTTTTGTTTGTCCACCCGCCTCTTGAGGATCGACCACAAGTTCTCACTGGGATTAAGGTCTGGGGAGTTTCCTGGCCATGGGCCCAAAATGTCGATGTTTTGTTCCCCGAGCCACTTAGGTATCACTTTTGCCTTATGGCAAGGTGCTCCATCATGCTGGAAAAGGCATTGGTTGTCACCAAACTGTTTTTGGATGGTTGGGAGAAGTTGGTACCATTCTTTATTCATGGATTTATTCTTAGGCAAAATTGTGAGTGAGCCCACTCCCTTGGCTGAGAAGCAACCTGTTACGTGAATTATTTATCAAACTATTCTGTGTCTCTGTGCGTCTCCCAAAAGGTTGTAAGTCTTTTGGGATTTAAGTAACGGACAGAGTCCCGATCTGCATAGTCAGAGATCTTTATTCATTGAGAAGTCTGCCATCACAATTTCAGAGTCCATCTTTTATACTCATACGTCATACAAAAAATCCCTCCCCTCTGTAGGCGGGCTGTAGTTTTCCACTCTAAAACTGCTCTCCTGACCATCAGTTCACACACACACACACACACACACACACACATATACACACATACATACACACACACATGCATACACACACACATACATACACACTTTCTTATCATAGCCTACTCCCTGCATTCCTCAGTTATCGCCGTTCTCACAATATTCTGCACCATGTTTCATAACAGTTTCTTTCCTCCCTAAATTGGAAGGCCTCTTTATCTTGGTTTCTCAGTTGCCTGTAGACAGTTCTCCTTGTCCTTTGTCTGGCCTAACTCTTACTCACATTGCTGAATAGTAGCTCAATGTCATAGTCTTTACTGGTCCTACACTCACACATTCTAACACATTCCACACAGTTTCAGGGTGTAATAATTAGTCATTAATAATTAATCTATCACAACCCCACACATGAATGGTCTCAGGATGCTTTACTGTTGGCATGACACAGGACTGATGGTAGCGCTCACTTTGTCTTCTCCGGACAAGGTGTTTTCCAGATGCCCCAAACAATCGGAAAGGGGATTCATTAGAGAAAATGACTTTACCGCAGTCCTCAGCAGTCCAATCCATGTACCTTTTGCAGAATATCAGTCTGTCACTGATGTTTTTCCAGGAGAGAAGTGGCTTCTTTGCTGCCCTTCTTGACACCAGGCCATCCTCCAAAAGTCTTCGCCTCACTGTGCGTGCAGATGCACTCACACCTGCCTGCTGCCATTCCTGAGCAAGCTCTGCACTGGTGGTGCCCCGATCCCGCAGCTGAATCAACTTTAGGAGACGGTCCTGGCGCTTGCTGGACTTTCTTGGGCGCCCTGACACCTTCTTCACAATAATTGAACCTCTCTCCTTGAAGTTCTTGATAATAATAATAATATCCCATTTAGCAGACACTTTTATCCAAAGCGACTAACAGTCATGTGCGCATACATTTTTACGTATGGGTGGTCCCGGGGATCGAACCCACTACCCTGGCATTACAAGCGCCATGCTCTACCAATTGAGCTACAGAGGACCATTTGATGATCCAATAAATGGTTGATTTACAGTTGAAGTCGGAAGTTTACGTACACCTTAGCCAAATACATTTAAACTCAGTTTTTCACAATTCCTGACATTTAATCCTAGTAAAAAAATCCCTGTTTTAGGTCAGTTAGGATCACCACTGTATTTTAAGAATGTGAAATGTCAGAATAATGGTAGAGAGAATGATTTATTTCAGCTTTTATTTCCTTCATCATATTCCCAGTGGGTCAGAAGTTTACATACACTCAATTAGTATTTGGTAGCATTGCCTTTAAATTGTTTAATTTGGGTCAAACGTTTCAGGTAGCCTTCCACAAGCTTCACACAATAAGTTGGGTGAATTTTGGGCCATTCCTCCTGACAGAGCTGGTATAACTGAGTCAGGTTTGTAGGGGTCCTTGCTCGCACACGCTTTTTCAGTTCTTCCCACACATTTTCTATAGGATTGAGGTCAGGGCTTTGTGATGGCCACTCCAATACCTTGACTGTGTTGTCCTGCCACAACTTTGGAAGTATGCTTGGGGTCATTGTCCATTTGGAAGACCCATTTGCGACCAAGCTTTAACTTCCTGACTGTCTTGCTTCAATATATCCACATAATTTTCCTTCCTCATGATGCCATCTGTTTTGTGAAGTGCACCAGTCCCTCCTGCAGCAAAGCACCCCCACAGCATGATGCTGCCACCCCGTGCTTCACGGTTGGGATGGTGTCTTCGGCTTGCAAGCGTCTCACTTTTTTCTCCAAAGATAACGATGGTCATTATGGCCAAACAGTTCTATTTTTGTTTCATCAGACCAGAGGACATTTCTCCAGAAAGTACGATCTTTGTCCCAATGTGCAGTTGCAAACCATAGTCTGGCTTTTTTATGGCTGTTTTGGAGCAGTGGCTTCTTCCTTGCTGAGCGGCCTTTCAGGTTATGTCGATATAGATACTTTTGTACCTGTTTCCTCCAGCATCTTCACAAGGTCCTTTGCTGTTGTTCTGGGATTGATTTGCACTTTTCGCACAAAGTACGTTAATCTCTAGGAGACAGAACGCGTCTCCTTCCTGAGCGGTATGACGGCTGCGTGGTCCCATGGTGTTTATACTTGCATACTATTGTTTGTACAGATGAACGTGGTACCTTCAGGCGTTTGGAAATTGCTCCCAAGGATGAACCAGACTTGTTGAGGTCTGCAATTCTTTTTCTGAGGTCTTGGCTGATTTGTTTTGATTTTGATGTCAAGCAAAGAGGCACTGAGTTTGAAGGTAGGCCTTGAAATACATCCACAGGTACACCTCCAATTGACTCAAATGATGTCAATTAGCCTATCAGATGCTTCTAAAGCCATGACATCATTTTCTGGAATTTTCCAAGCTGTTTAAAGGCAGTCAACTTAGTGTATGTAAACTTCTGACCCACTGGAATTGTGATCCAGTGAAATAATGTCTGTAAACAATTGTTGGAAAAATTACTTGTGTCATGCACAAAGTAGATGTCCTAACCGACTTGACAAAACTATAGTTTGTTAACAAGACATTTGTGGAGTTGTTGAAAAACGAGTTTTGATGACTCCAACCTGTATGCCAAGTGTATGTAAACTTCCGACTTCAACTGTAGGTGCAATCTTACTAGCAGCAATATCCTTGCCTGTGAAGCCCTTTTTGTGCAAAGCAATGATGACGGCACACGTTTCCTTGCAGGTAACCATGGTTAACAGAGAAATAACAATGATTTCAAGGACCACCCTCCTTTTAAAGCTTCCAGTCTGTTATTCTAACTCAATCAGCATGACAGTGATCTCCAGCCTTGTCCTCATCAACACTCTCACCTGTGTTAACGAGAGAATCACTGACATGACAATGCAAGCTCATAGCGGCCATATTGTTTCAGCTAGTCTTGGAAAATATTGCATTTGAAGATGTGCATACGTAGATGCTACATAACAAATTTGGTGCCGATCGGTCCAGCGGTTCTGGGGAAGACGTTTTAAAGTAGTCAACATCAGTGAAGTTGATCCAAAATACATCAAAAGCATATTAAATGGCACGATCAGTTTGATTTCAGTTCTGATATTTGGCAAGCGTGGTAAACAGTAAAGAAGTAACTCATCCTAGGGCAATGTGTCCATTTTTTCCTGATGGTGGCACAGTCGGACCCATAGATGAACCCCGGCATTGCTGCTTGCAGCTATATTTGTATAAGAGTTTCTACAATTTATAGTTGTTTTGAGGTTAAGTAATAGAAATGTAGAGCTATTGCGATTTTTATATGTTGTTCTATTTTCATTTAGTAATTTACCAAATGGTCCCTATAGCTCCATAGGGATATCCAAAGTGAAGCCAAATTTACCAAAGGCATTACGATCAGGTCACGTGCAGCTGCACTCAGAATTAATGATTACTTGTGTGTGGCCAGCAGCGGGCAGGATTGAAACCAACCCAGCCTTCATTTAGGTTGTGATGCAGTCAAGATCACAAGTCTCACAAAACTCAATTTTGGACAAGACTGACCAAAAATAAGTTGTTTTTTTTAGGGTAATTGCTTTTTAAAAGACGTGATGCCTAACCCGCGATCGGATTGAATAACAGCCTGAGTATCATGGAATCACCACACATTGGCTCCTCTCTGTCAGAGAAACAGTTTTGTTACACTTCAAGTAACTTTACAAACACCACATCACCGCCCATAATTTGATCATTAAAAACATCCTCACATGGGACATTGTTTGCTGAAGCAGTTAACATTGACAGATCCACCCAGTCACCAACATGCTGAGTTGACAAACATATCTGCTCTGTTGCCAAGGTCACAGTAGTAGTATTTTCTTTACATAATAAAAATACAAAACCATAAGGCCATCATTGCTCCAGATGGCTACCCTACAAATCAGGTTTGAAGAGTTAGGGAGGTAACTTGTCAACTTGGACTTCAACTCGTGATAACTAGTTATAAGAATGTGGCTCACCTTTTAGTCAGGTACATTTCTATGGCAACAAATCCTTCAGAACTAACCTGCTCCGGGGCAGGCTAACTCAGGGCTAACTCCATTTATCCTGAATAAAGTGTCTGAGCTGCGAGTTGAGGACGATTTAAATCAGATTCCCTCCCTCTCGCAAAGATTGCGTCATCATCATCCCCTTCATTTGCAAAAGACTGATTAAATATTTTATTAATCAAATGTTTTTTTTGTTAAAAATAGTAAAATGTTAAAATACCTATCACATTATTTAGTATTGACAGAATGCATTTGAAACTTCACACACAAACTTTTGTATGACAAATAAAATTGATACAATTATTTTTATCAATAGGAGTGGGGGGGAAAAGGTGCTTATGCATTGATAAGCACACCAAAGATGGCATTAACGATAAATAATACAATTAAGCCAGCACTTCTAAAAGCCTATTTCACACCATTAGGATTGAGCCTATAGCTTGCTGAATTTGCAAGTATTCATTTTGATTTCAGCACAAATGAAAATGTGACACGGACTTTCCCCTGGATTGATGTTTCAGCATTGTCTCGATGAAGAGCTTGGCGTTCGACTAGCCATGTGTGACATGCACGCGCAGTTAGAAGCCTGCTAGAGTTAATGGCAGGCGGACAAACAATATCCACCGTCCTAGTACAGATGAAGCCAGACCTGGAATGTGAAGCTAACAGAAGCTGGTTAGCTTTAGGAAACCCTGAGTAAATCTAGCTTGTGTTGTAGGATTCCCCTCTGTTCTGTGTGGCTGGGTATCCTGTCAACACTGTTGCAACAACCCGGAGTAATCTCTCAAACATGATTTAAAACCAAAAAACATGATTTAAAACCAAAGTGGAGAAAATGAATGCCTGTGTCATACAAGCTACATCATGTGTTTGTGTATGAATGTATTCAGGGGTTAACTTGGGAAGGAAACTGTTCCACCATTTTAGGATGAGACGCATACATTGGGAACTTCCATAACCATCAAATTTTGAGGACAGTTTACAAATCTAGAGAATCCCAATTTAACCCCTCTGGGTATCTATTTGTAAGTGTAACCCTGCATTACTTCAAGAAATTGCAATACAATATTTCAGGCTACACCATCGCAACTTAAATACAAATCAAGAACTGAACAAAATGAAATCAAAACCAGAAAGCGTTTCCTTCAACGAAGATCAAACAGATTTAACCATAGTACAGAGAATGATGTGAACATGATCTCTAATGGTAGCAAGTGTACATCAATGAAATGGATGACAGACAGAATAGATGGGATTCAGCATGTTCTACAGCAGCGTTTCCCAACTCCATCCAGTCTGTGGACCAGCACCAGCTCCCTAAGATGGGTAACTGACACCAATGGAGTCAGTTCAAGTGCTTGGTGGTCCTCCAATGAGAACCATAGCTTGCCAGCCCCTCGTACAATAAAAGGCACCAAAAAAAAACCTGTTCTACTGCAGTAGCATTACTTCTTCCTCAGTACACTATGTCAAGATACGCTATTGAAACAATAAGAAAAAGTGTATTTTCAACAGAATCAGAAAGAGCGGTGTTGTCATGAAGCTATTATCAGTGGAGTAGGATGGCCAATTGTAACTAAATACCTCCACTTTAACTCTTACTTTCCTCCTGAAGATCCATGTAATAGCGCAATTTAAATGTAAATGTAATTTTTGATTGACCTGACATATGCAATATTTACCGAATGCGGAAAAATTTAAATTTAAAAAAGGCAATCTCCCTATAGTTCGGATCTTCCGCATTCCGGATTGAATCTAGGCCCTTGTCTCAACTGCTTTTTGATGCGAAAAGTGGAGTTTCACAAGAACTAAGGGCTGGATTCAATCCGTATCGCGGAAGATCCGCATTATCGCTCTATTGAAATTTCAAGGCAATGTTCCCGCGTTCGCGGAGACTGCATCCACGCAAACGCTGCATATGTCAGCTCAATTGGAAATTACCTTTAACTTTTAATACGGATCTTCCGCGATACAGATTGAATCTAGCCCTAGAGAGCTGTTTGAGATTAAGAAGCAACAAAACAGTACATTCAATTCGAAGCTAGCCTTTGATGAGTCTTCTTGTTCTGTACCTCACACTACAGTCAGGTGGAGATTACATGATATAAAAGAAGAACCTTCAAGTTTCACCTAATGTCCCATATAATCTGCTGCTTACATTTCAAGAACTGAAGTGAGGAAACGTTATCAGTACATATAGGTCCGTTACTGGCATCTGAAACCTTATAGCAGCAGCGTTAGTTCCGGACCCAGGACAGTCAGTCAGCAGTGGAAACTTTGTGGACGTCGACTCCCAAAGGAATTGAAAGTCTCAGATCCCTCCCTCCCGTTATCAAGATTTTAAAAAACAAAACACTGGCCGAATATGCACCGCTGGCCCTCCTCTGAAGGCGAGAAAAGACTGACTGTCACCATATGTGTCGTTAGTCAAATTACGTGTCCTGTTTCCAGGGCATTTCCTTCTGTTTCTCCTTGGCTCCTGTCGTTTTTTAAAAAGTGTTAATGGCCCTTATACAATATTATACAATAACGGTCAAACAGTTGTTAACCCATGGTCCACTGGAAAGGCAGGGGTACTTTCTCAGCTGTTCAGTCAGTCACTCAGTTTACAGTCACAGAGCTCTTTGTAAATCCTCTTGCGGACTTTGGGCATGTCGTGCTGTGTGAACTGCAGAGGTTCTTTTAAAGCCAGGCATTTGCAGTACTGTGAGAGAAGCAGAGATAAAAACATTAAATAAAAAGGTTCACCACAGCAGTGTGTGGGGAATTTGTGGTATGAGAGGGAAATTCCTCACTCACCTCCAATACGAAGACTCCACAGTCACTGTCATTCTTCTGTTGAGGAATACCCTGAGGGTGAGAACCAGAGACAGTTAGAGGTCAAAACACAGAGCCAATCGTGAGAGAGAACACGGTGACATGGTGTCATATGAAACAATACCTTGTTTATAATCATCTTCCAGCCATTCTGATAGGTAGCTTGATTCTTCTCCTTCGCCTCGGCCAGGATGTATCTCATGATGTTCTGTGGGGCAAATAACCAGAGGAAGACAAGGGTTTAGTTAACAAAAAAGGTTAAGTTACACATTGACTCCTTCAGGGTTCCCAAAATGTGGACTAGGTAGACCAGGGATGGGCAACTTTGATAGGGGTGGGGGCCACAAAAGAAAACGGAACTCATGAGGGGCCGCAGTGGCTCGTGGGTCTGCGTACCCACATCCATACAACCCCCCCTCCCCACCACCACAACCTTGTGAGCAAAACATTTTAAATCGGCCCCCCTCGTGACAGCAAAAATAAAACATATGTTTTAAAGTTAATTTCCTGCAATATGGCACATTTTGCCATGGGGCGTATGGAAAATGTTTGCTGCAATTTTACACATTTTGCCAATTCTACAAATTTTGCCATGCGGCAGGGAGAAAAATGTTTTACAGCCAATTTCCTACAATTCTACACATTTTGCCATGGGGTGGAGGCAAATGTTTGCCATTTTTGATATGATAACTGATGATCAATGGGCCCCACCCTGGTTGGTAATTCAACCATGCTTACTACAAGTTTAGATAGCTGGCCACTAGACTAACTTACCAATCCCAAAAACAATTGCTGACATGGGCTAATTGATTGACTGCTGATGCACAACCACAATTCTAAATTGCACCCTGTGAATTATATTATAACTCAACCGTAAGTTGAGACCCCGACTGAGTTAAAAATTAATAAAAATAGAAGTCAGCGGGCCTACAAAAGGGGGGCCGCCAGTTGCCCATGCTTGACATAGACCAATGTTAATATTTTCCATGCTTATCAAATCAATGTTCAAGTCTAGGACTAAATTCAGAGAAGCAACAGAGTTTCATTGAGCAGCAGAGAACTGTAAAGTGTGGGTGAGCATACCTCTATGGTGTATTTGAAGACGATGCCCTGTGAGTCGTAGTAGTGGATGTGGTGGTTGGCCATGTCTACTGTGATCAGGGACCAGTGGATCTCCAGGTGGATAGGAATCAGCAGCAGACTCTTGGAAAACAGATCCACCTGCCAAACGGAGAGAGAGACCCGAGTGGTATACTATGAAGCAAGTAAGATCTACTCTGGTTTTCAAAAGCTAGCCAGCTTCAGTTAGCGTCACATTCTAGCTCAGGCTTCGTCCATACTACGACCGTGGATATTGCTCGTCCGCCTGCCGCTAACTCTAGCAGGCTTGTAACTGCGCGTGCATGTCGCATGTGGCTAGTCGAACGCTGAACTCTTAATTGAGACAATGCTGAAACATCAATTCATGGGCAAGTCAGTGCCACATTTTTCAATTTACTGATTTTCTGTAACGCAGTAAAATCTTTCAAATTGTTGCGTTTATATTTTTGTTAATTACCACGTTTCTGAGATGAACTAGGTTGAATATTTGCTTAATAAAACTACAACTTCCTTCAGCCCACCGTCCCACATACAGTGAGGGAAAAAAGTATTTGATCCCCTGCTGATTTTGTACGTTTGCCCACTGACAAAGAAATGATCAGTCTATAATTTTAATGGTAGGTTTATTTGAACAATGAATAACAACAAAAACATCCGGAAAAACGCATGTCAAAAATGTTATAATTTGATTTTGCATTTTAATGAGGGAAATAAGTATTTGACCCCCTCTCAATCAGAAAGATTTCTGGCTCCCAGGTGTCTTTTATACAGGTAACGAGCTGAGATTAGGAGCACACTCTTAAAGGGAGTGCTCCTAATCTCAGTTTGTTACCTGTATAAAAGACACCTGTACACAGAAGCAATCAATCAGATTCCAAACTCTCCACCATGGCCAAGACCAAAGAGCTCTCCAAGAATGTCAGGGACAAGATTGTAGACCTACACAAGGCTGGAATGGGCTACAAGACCATCGCCAAGCAGCTTGGTGAGAAGGTGACAACAGTTGGTGTGATTATACGCAAATGGAAGAAACACAAAAGCACTGTCAATCTCCCTCAGCCTGGGGCTCCATGCAATATCTCACCTCGTGGAGTTGCAATGATCATGAGAACGGTGAGGAATCAGCCCAGAACTACACGGGAGGATCTTGTCAATGATCTCAAGGCAGCTGGGACCATAGTCACCAAGAAAACAATTGGTAACACACTATGCCGTGAAGGACTGAAATCCTGCAGCGCCCGCAAGGTCCCCCTGCTCAAGAAAGCACATATACAGGGCCGTCTGAAGTTTGCCAATGAACATCTGAATGATTCAGAGGAGAACTGGGTGAAAGTGTTGTGGTCAGATGAGACCAAAATGGAGCTCTTTGGCATCAACTCAACTCGCTGTGTTTGGAGGAGGAGGAATGCTGCCTATGACCCCAAGAACACCATCCCCACTGTCAAACATTATGCTTTGGGGGTGTTTTTCTGCTAAGGGGACAGGACAACTTCACCGCATCAAAGGGACGATGGACGGGGCCATGTACCATCAAATCTTGGGTGAGAACCTCCTCAGCCAGGGCATTGAAAATGGGTCGTGGATGGGTATTCCAGCATGACAATGACACAAAACACACGGCCAAGGCAACAAAGGAGTGGCTCAAGAAGAAGCACATTAACGTCCTGGAGTGCCCTAGCCAGTCTCCAAACCTTAATCCCAAGAAACATCTGACCTCTGTGATTGCCAACAAGGGTTTTACCACCAAGTACTGAGTCATGTTTTGCAGAGGGGTCAAATACTTATTTCCCTCATTAAGATGCAAATCAATTCATAACATTTTTTACATGCGTTTTTCTGGATTTTGTTGTTGTTATTCTGTTTCTCACTGTTCAAATAAACCTACCATCAAAATTATAGACTGATCATGTCTTTGTCAGTGGGCAAACATACAAAATCAGCAGGGGATCAAATACTTTTTTCCCCTCACTGTAGTTCTTGACTTGATTTATCTCGTCAATGATTTAATTTCTCTCTAGAGAAATGACGCGTTGGGCTCACAACTAAAAACTAAATGGAATTCAAGTAATTGAACCAACGTCGGTCAATTAGTTGTTTAATAACCACAAAAATAACCACAATTTCAGTTAATCGCTCAGCACTACAGAGCTAATGATCTGACCTACCATCAGCTTACCTTTTTGGTCCATCTCTTAACCCCTTCATAGCCTTTGGCCACCAGCTGCCTATGAAAGAAGCTGTTGAAGAAATGAACCTGCAGGAAAAAAACAAAGACAATTCAGTAACCTTGGAAACCCAACAGAAGACCACCACCATCCTAACAACTCCCTTTTACCAATAACCCTTTGTTGAACATTCTGATCAAGGATCCAAAATGAATGCACTCTCACCTTGTGCTCTGTAGCCTCCATGATCAATTCGCCATACATGTTTATCACCTGGACACACACAAGACATAGAAACATGAAAATGTTTACTTAATCCTCGTCATTCGTGGTGGAACATAGGGCCTGTACTCAAGTTTTTTAGATTTTCAGGTTAGATAAAACAACAGTGAATCAGGTTGATAAGCAGCAAGCACACCGTTTTCTATGGGCCATAGCTACCTGGTCGTTGACCCAGTTTTGGTCGTCCAGCGTGGACAGATCCTCCAGGGTCAGAGTGTGCTTGTTGTAGTCCACTTTAAAGCAGTTCATCGGGGTGGAGGCTAGACCCGCTTTGTACTTCACCACTTCTGAGTGGATGTTTAGCTTCCTGGTACAGAGGAGGGATGAGACAGGTCAAACCAAGGGTCAAATGGAATAACAAGTAGACAAAAGCACAGAGATTCTATTAGCATAGCGATGGAAGTCAGTGTTGAAAGTAAAACTGGTTTGTGGGGTGTATCGCAAATGATTCATACTTGTCATCGAAGTCAGTGTTACACTTGTTCTTCAGGTGCTCCAAGACATCAGTCTCACTGAGGGGGATGAAGCTCCCGTACTTCACATAGAAGAGCTCAAGGAACTCTGAGGGAGAGACAGGCACCTTAAATAAGTAAAAAGGTCATAACCAGTGAAATTAAAAATGTATCACATTTGAAATCATAGTTGCAATAAAAGTCTAATACCATGGATGAGGTCTCTGATTCCTTCATGGTTGCCCTCTTCAGGTTTGGGTTGTTTTGGTGATGGCTGGGTCTGCTGTGCTGAGTCTGTGGCACTTTCCTTCTCCGGCTCAGGGCTTGGAGCCCACACTCCTGTCTTGCAGTAATCTCGGTGGTCCCACAGAGCAAAGGGGTGGAGGGTGCTGCACATAATAATGCCTGGGGAAACACAGGCTATGGCTGATGGTTCCACCTCCATAGGGGCGCTACAGTCTGTTGGTTCCTCTTTGGGGACAGCTGATGTACCGTTGGAGAGGGAGACAGCTGGGTCACCGGCCTGGGGCTGGTGCTGCTTTACGACCTCCATTTTAGGATCTGTAACTGGCTGTTTGACTGAACCAGGGCCCTGCTCCCCCTCACACACAGCCCCTTCACAGGCTTTCTCCTGCTCCATTTCTGAATCAGCAAAATGCTCAACCACTGATGTCATTACCGGTTGAACCACAGACTTATTCACTAGTTTAACCACAGTGTACGTTAACTTCTGACCCATAGAGTTTGTTACAGTTTGAGGTTGACCGACAGAGTTGGTTACAGGTTGACCAACAGAGTTGGTTACAGGTGGAGACAAAGAGTTTGTTACCGGCTCCACAGCAGTTTCTTTCTCCAGTTCCTCTCGGATGGCTGTTACCTGCTCCTCTGTCATCAGGGTCTTCTTATAAGAGGGGCGGCCACCCTTTCTCTTAGGGGTCTCCCCCAGTGCCTGGCCCTTGCCCTTCCCCGGCTGGGCCCTGCGTTGTCGGGACTTGCCACCCGGAGTCTTCCCATGTGGGGCCTTCCCATCATGGAGCTTAGAGTTGGGCCCACAGCAGTCACATGCCTTGGGTGTCCTCTTCCTCTCAGAAGAGCGGCCATTGGTGCCCACCTGTGTCGGCGGCGGAGGCGTGGGTGGTGGCGTGTGGGGGACTGAGCCGTTATGAACCATGGCTCTGTCCTCAGCCCCTACCCCATTCCTCCACGGCTGCCTCTGGCCCTCAGTGCTGGTCCCAGCCCTTTAGGGGCCCTGAACCATGGAGCTTCCCAGTGGATGGACTCTCTAGATGAGAGTTTCACCCCAGTCTCTCAGATGGTGGAGGATGTAGATTCTCAGGGACTAGGCTTGCTGCTCCTCCTATGTTTCCCTAAGCAGTACTCCGGATTGGCGCGTTTGTGAAACTGTGAACATACACCGTACCAGAAGCATTCAGTTCCGTGGGTGGTCTTCTAACGACCTGCTCGGACAAATCTTCTTAGTAGCCAAGGAAGAAGCTGCATTCAAGTAAAGAGAGCAGTGTTAGGATAAATGTGTACACATAATTAATTAATGTGTGAAAATAACTGAGTGCAATTTGATGACAACAACAGTACTGTGTAGATAGATAGCTAGGCCTATTAGAAGAAAGTGGTGTGACCTGGGTTGTCATATCACGTTATCACACATTGTTAATCCTTTCCTAGCTCAAAAATGTTATCTTAAGGAGTGTAGGAGAGCCTACAGTTACTCCTTAAGTCCAAGGATCTTATATGTTCTTTTCAGAGGTAGACTGCCTCTGGTAGCCAAAACAGCCAAATACTCCATCTAAACGTGAATCGATTCTCAATTGCAAAACGGTTCTTGAAAAATAAAGCCCTTTACTTTCATATCACATCAAAATAATTTCACAAATGCAAAATATACACTTTCTGTACACTGTTTAAACCGGCTTTATCACAGATGCCGCCAACAGTACTTTTCAGTTACAACAAGTTTCTGGCGGCCTTCTTCCGTTCCACAAAGGTGTTTGGAGCATACTAGATAGCTAATTAGCACACGCGCTGCAACATGGAGATATGGCCGTGTGGGAACAGTAACCCTAACCCTATAAAAGGTGTGTAGTAATTTAAAGATGCACTATGCAGAAATCGCTCCACCGTTTCTTGGTTGTAAAAAATCTCATCGTTAGCATAATTTTAGCTTGTGACAAAACAAGCAAGTATAGTGTAGAGAATCATTGTACCATGTGAAATATATTTTCCATAACCAAATATATTGTATTTTCAGCTGTTTGAAGCTGGTGTTCAAAACCTAAAGTAAGACGCAAAAAAATAAACTAAAGAACGGGAAGCATAGAAATAGCGCACATAGAACAGATCTACTGCTTCTTAGACTTGCTTTCAATGAGAATGACAGATCTGTAACAAACATTTATGTGAATTTGGTCGGGTCGCCCAAAAAGTCACATATTGCAGCTTTAACCTTTTATGTTTTGACAATTATTTATTGCTAATACGAAAGATACGTTCCTTAGGTTTCCAAAACCGTACCGCAAGCGATGCGTGTTCACGTTCAGACCGAGCATCAGGGCTCTTCTAAACAAAAGTCCCCCAGGAAGAAGATACTTCATCAATAGGTGCTAATTACATGCTGACCACACCGGACGCATTGTGCGCGCGAGGTTTGCAAAATAAATTTACACGTACAAGTTATTCAATCATTTCAAGCGAGCGTCTGCAAAGCCAGGCACTAAAATATAACTTGGTTGTATTTTGTTCTATTTTAGACACTTGACACGCTGCAAGTCCTGCCTCTCCCATCTCCTCATTGGTTTTTAGGAGCATATACCCACGTGGGTGATGCTCTCTCCCTCCCATCCCGGACGACCTGAGCCCTAGGACAATGCCTTAGGACTACCTGGCCTGATGACTCCTTGCTGTCCCCAGTCCACCTGGTCGTGCTGCTGCTCCAGTTTCCACTCTTCTGCCTGCGGCTATGGAACCCTGACCTGTTCACCGGACATGCTACCTTGTCCCAGACCTGCTGTTTTCAACTCTCTCTACCACACCTGCTATTTCAATCTCTAAATGCCCGGCTATGAAAAGCCAAGTGACATTTACTCCTAATGTACTGACCTGTCGCAACCTCTACAACCACTGTGATTAGGCTGGTCATGGCTCACATGAACACCATTATCCCAGAAACCCTAGACCCACTCCAATTTGCATGTCGCCCCAACAGATCCACAGATGATGCAATCTCTATTGCGCTCTACACTGCCCTTTCACACCTGGACAAAAGGAACACCTATGTGAGAATGCTATTGATTGACTACAGCTCAGCGTTCAACACCATAGTGCCCTCAAAGCTCATCACTAAGCTAGGACTAACACCTCCCTCTGCAACTGGATCCTGGACTTCCTGACGGGCCGCCCCCAGGTGGTAAGGGTAGGTAACAACACATTCGCCACGCTGATCCTCAACACGGGGGCCCCTCAGGGGTGCGTGCTCAGTCCCCTCCTGTACTCCCTGTTCACTCATGACTGCATGGCCAGGCACGACTCCAACACCATCATTAAGTTTGCCGATGACACAACAGTGGTAGGCCTGATCACCGATAACGACGAGACAGCCTATAGGGAGGTCAGGCACCTAGCCGTGTGGTGCCAGGACAACAACCTCTCCCTCAACGTGATCAAGACAAAGGAGAAAGAAGAGGACTGAGCACGCCCCCATTTTAAAGGTTTAGAGCTTCAAGTTCCTTGGTGTCCACATCACCAACAAACTAACATGGTCCAAGCACAACAAGACAGTCGTGAAGAGGGCACAACAAAACCTATTCCCCCTAAGGAGACTGAAAAGATTTGCCATGGGTCCTCAGATCCTCAAAAAGGTTCTACAGCTGCACCAACGAGAGCATCCTGGCTGGTTGCATCACTGCCTGGTATGGCAACTGCTCGGGCTCCGACCGCAAGGCACTACAGAGGGTAGTGCCTACGGCCCAGTACATCACTGGGGCCAAGCTTCCTGCCATCCAGGACCTCTATACCAGGCGGTGTCAGAGGAAGGCCCTAAAAATTGTCAAAGACTCCAGCCACCCTAGTCATAGACTGTTCTCTCTGCTACTGCACGGCAAGTGGTACCGGAGTGCCAAGTCTAGGTCCAAGAGGCTTCTAAACAGCTTCTACCCCCAAGCCATAAAACTCCTGAACATCTAATCAAATGACTACCCAGACTATTTGCATTGCCCCCCCCCCCCACCCCTCTTTTACACTGCTGCTACTCTCTGTTTATTATCAATGCATAGTCACTTTAATAACTCTACCAACATGTATATATTACCCCAATTACCTCGACTAACCGGTGATTTGATTTGATTATTATTTTACCCTGCTGGTCATCTATGAACGTTTGAACATCTTGGAGAAAAATCTGGCCTTAATGGCCATGTACTGTTGTAATCTCTACCCAGCACAGCCAGAAGGGGACCACCCCTCAGAGCCTGGTTCCTCTCTAGGTTTCTGCCTTTCTAGGGAGTTTTTCCTAGCCACCATGCTTCTACATCTGCATTGCTTGCTGTTTGGGGTTTTAGGCTGGGTTTCTGTATAGGGCTTTATAAATAAAATGTGATTGTGAGTGATTGATTGAAAGATGAAAGAGGTCCATACTCCAGTCCAGTTCATTGCAGTAATGCACCTTAAAGTTGGTTGCCAAACACTAGAAGGCTGGTGGGAGGAGCTATAGGAGGATGTGGTCATTGTAATGGCTGGAATGGAACAGAGTCAAACGTGGTTTCCATGTGTGATGTGTTTGATACCGTTCCATTTATTCCATTCCAGCCATTACAATGAGCCCATCCTCCTATAGCTCCCTCCACCAGCCTCCACTGCCAACCACCATATAAAATCAACAGAAGAAGACAACTGAACTAGTAGAGATTACTAGAAGCTAACTAGGTTTCCCCTTTTATCTGTGGATTAATTGTCGGAGTACAGAAGACACGATTTTATGTGACTCAAAATTGGTCGATATTCTACAAAGATCCAACAAAAAAAAGGACATTGTACATTTCAAGTAAAAGAACACCCCAATGTTTATATCCCAGGACAAATTGCTAGCAACAGCAAGATGGCTATCTAAATGTCCATGAATGTTTCAAACTGTCCCCAAATGAATATAGTTGGTTTAGAGTTCGTTTTGATATTTCAACCTGCTTGTCCTGGTCGTGTCTGGTGGGGATAGACAAACTCAACATGCGCACGATGGCGCGGAGGCGGTTTGGTCGTCATGTTAGGTCTATTAGGTCATAACTTTCTAGCTTCGACTGCAACTAGGACACTGATGTGACATTTATATTTACGATTCTGACATTTACTGTCTTTATCATTACGTAAATAAAAAATACAATATCCAAATGTAAATGTTTATTATTAATATCATTGGCATACTATTTATAGGGCTAATCCTTTCCTAAAGTAACACGTATTACAGCTAATAATGGTGTCTAATAAATAAACCATTCTGAGCCACTAACATCAACTGAACTTGTCTTTGAGGTCGTTAGCTAGCAAGCTAGTTACCACCTGTGAAGTTAGCCACAATAAGGATTAGCCACAATAAGGATTAGCCACAATAAGGATTAGCCACACTAGTGGAATTTGCTGTTCGCCTTCAAAATAAAGGTCACCCATTTGAAAGGTGATGCAAACGGCTACAAATAGTGGAATCATTTCATATTTGGACGAGATAATGCTAAACAAGGTTGGAGAGTTGTTATATAAATTCAATAAAAGACAATTGTTAATTTGACACTAAAATAAATCTGTTGAAATCGCACTGTGGATGTATTACACTTCAGAATTGCATTGGGGGCGCAGTGGTCTAAGGCACTGCATCGCAGTGCTAGCTGTGCCACTAGAGATCCTGGTTCGAATCCAGGCTCTGTCGTAGCCGGCCGCGACCGGGAGACCCATGGGGCGGCGCACAATTGGCCCAGCGTCGTCCAGGGTAGGGAATGGCCGGCAGGGATGTAGCTCAGTTGGTAAAGCATGGCGTTTGCAACGCCAGGGTTGCGGGTTCGATTCCCACGGGGGGCCAGTATGAAAAAAAATAAAAATAATGTATGCACTCACTAACTGTAAGTCGCTCTGGATAAGAGCTTCTGCTAAATTACTAAAATGTAAATATATGGGGTATATTAAGAGCAATATTAATGGCGTATTTTTGTTGGCACTAACTCCGCCATGGTTCGTTGGGCAAAGCTTATTATGGGCAAATAG